GAAAATCTTTTCAATTGCATGCTGAGATGATGAGCTGGAACTGGAGGGTTTAGAAAGTCAGTGGCTTATAATGTGAAATGACATTGATCTTGCAAATGTAGCAAAATAAAATAATTATGGAGACTTTTCAATCAACTTTTACAGCTGAGTAAAACTTTCATTTTTATTAAATTTTACAAGAATCTTGGAGGCTAAATCTTTAAACTTGGAAAAAGAACAGTTGTTTCAGGTAAATTAGTTATTGATTCATATTTGTTAGTAATATAATGGACTAGATTTAACGATGGACACTGGCAATGCTGTATATGTGTTGTTATTTGGCTTAAATCAAAAATGGTTGGATCCAAAATTTCTCATCATAAAAAGTGGAGAAGCCGGGCGGTTTGTTAAGTGGAGTGCTGGCACAAGTGAAATGGAAGTATTTTATGTATTAGCTTGACTTTTCGAATGAACACCATGACAATGTAGATGAATGTAAATCCGTGCGTGTCTTATTTAATGTGTGCTTCCACTTCTTGTGCCCCAGGATGGGACAGTGATCATCCACGCGGTGCGTCGGGGTCAGTACATGCGCTGCTTGCGGCCGCCGTGCGACAGCTCCCTGCCGCTCTCCATCCTCCACCTGGCCGTGTCCTGGGAGGGTCACCTGCTGGTCCACACCTGCCTTGAGGGCAAAGCAACGCTCAAGGTGCATGCACAGTTTGTTTCACACACACAGACATCTAAAGAGGGGAATCTGGGACTCACTGAATGTCACTTTTTTTTTTCTTCTTTCTCTTCTCAGGATAAAAACGCTCTACATCTTTACTCTGTAAATGGGAAGCACCTCTGCAGCGAGCCTCTGAAGGAGCAGGTGACTGACATGTGTGTTTCAGGGGAGCATGTAGTCATTGGCAGCGAGCAGGGATACCTGTCCATCCGTGACCTGTACAGGTAAACTCCCATACATTTTTAAACTTATTATCAGATTCTGATAGAGATTTTGAAGCTTGTCCTGTCTTTTTTTTTTTTTTAAATAAAGCTCTAACAGCAGTCTGGGTACATATGGACATTTTTAGATTTAACTGTTTCTCCTGTGCAGTCTGTCTCTGTGTACGGAGCCCATGGCCATGCGGGTGCCGGTGCGGAGCGTCTCGGTCACCAAGGAGCAGAGCCACGTCCTGGTGGGCCTGGAGGACGGCAAGCTGATCATCGTGGGCGTGGGCAAGCCGGCGGAGGTAAAGAACTCTCTGAGGAACTACATCGCTCAGAGCCTGGAGGGATCGCCGCTCATGGCCTCCCCTCTGCTGGCCCCACTACGAGCTCGCTCTCCAACCCACCTGCTGCACCAGTGCGACCAGCTGGTGTTTAGCCCCAGTTCCAGCTCCCAGAAACCCAAGCACCCCTAGTCCCTTCCTCCACTTCCATTGCTGTAGATCTGACATACACCCATTCAAACACACAAATGAACCTGCTGCACACCGTGTTGCAATGCTCAGTGTCCTCAAAGACCTTTTAACCCGCAGTCACCTCTCTTTCTCAGGGATGATTGTCGCCCACATTCAGTCATTTGGCTTCATTCCTCCCTAACCAAACACACTCTTACATCTGAGCCCCACAGAATGACAATAACACATTCCTTCAGCACACAGCCGAGCAGACTCAGCGGCCACCAGAATTGCGACTGTGATATGATAACAACGTGTAGTGCTTACCTCAGTCTGGTTTTTTATTTTCAAAATATTTGGCATCTGTGCAATATTTGACTTGATTTGGCCGTTGACCTGGGATAAACTCCATCCCCCTGCTGTTTACCTGAAGTGTCATTATGTCACGTGTTTGAGTGTACTCTACAACTATAACAAATATGCTGTGAAACAAACTCAATACTAAGTAACGCTTCTGCAAACTCAAGCCATATTAACAGTGTAGCTACAATCAAATAATGCAAACTAAGAATCTTGCGCCAAGATAGACTTTAATGTTTTGATAACGTAGATAGTGTGGTGTTGTAGATGTCGGAGGATGTCCCCCCTCTGAATAGTTTGATGTGAATCATCGCATCTTTCTGCTTTTCATTTTTTCTGTTCAAATTGACCAAAGTGAATCAAGCTTTGATTTTTTTCTTTAATGCTTCACAAGATTCACAAGTCAATCGAGCTCCAATGAATTAATCAATCACTCATGAATCATATCCCCCCCCCCCCCCCGTTTCCTTTGACTTCACGCTTTTCTTCCCCCCTCCTCTTCCCCCTTCCTCTTTCTCCTCCCCCTCGTACTCTTCCTCCACTCTTCTCAGATGCGTTCGGGCCAGATTACGCGGAAGCTGTGGGGCTCCAGCAAGAGACTGACGCAGATCTCCTCGGGGGAGACGGTGTACAACGCCTAGCACGATCGCAGCTGACCCGTCCCGGTCCCCAAGCCCTGAACCCTTCCCGCCATGCACATCCCACATTCCTGTCACCCAGCTCGCCTCCATACCGGTCTGAGGGACTCATTTCACTTCCTCCAGCACCTTTCCACAGTTTAACGGGTGGTGGGCAGCTGTCTTGGGGTGCTAAAAGCATTGAGCATCACAGCGTCTGCATGTCCGTGTGTTTGTTAAGGTTTTTTATGTGTGTGTATTCCTGCTTTGGATTGACCGTATGGCGCTGGCGCTGTGGTTCAATTCCAGAAGTAGCGCCACCACCCACTACTCCCTAACACCATGTCTTCTCTCTTAATTCCTCACCTAGTCATAATTTTTTTTACATGATACTACCATCAGCCATGTTTCCCCGGCAGGTGCCTTTTCACAGAGGCCCCTGTGTATTCTCTGACCTGCACAGCTTAAATCTGACAGGATCGGTCAGCTAACTGCTCTCCTGTGTGTATGTGTATGAATGTCTAAGTGTGTGCATGTGCATTGTATTGCCATGCTCTATCTGAAAATATTGTTTGAAGTGGCCTTTTTGCCCCCCCCCCCCCCCCCCCCCCTAGTTTGCCTTGGCTGCAAACAGGCGGGCCTGTGCTCTGTAGGCCGAGACTTTTCATTGGTTGCCTCAAAGGTGCCACACAGCAACCTTTACGCAGTAAGACGGCTCCATCACTCATAAGACCAAACTCTCTGCCTTTCATATGCTTTTATTATAGTGTGTGTGTGTGTGTGTGTGTGTGTGATTTTCATGTGGGTTTTTTTTGTTTTTTTTATTGCAAATTCTGTATTTTTTTGTTTTGTTTTTTTTGACAGATTTATGCATGTGCCCAGTTCTTATGCATGGAATATTGGGTCAATTTTTGAGATCAGGTGGCAGACGCAGCAATGGACAAGTCATGTTTTTAGTGTTTTATTTTAATTTACACTTGGATATAGCCAAAAATGTCTCTGATATAGCTGACTTGTTTTGTTTTAGAAACATCTTACACACAACAGCAGATAGCAATGTTAGCTTATCATTTAAGTTTTGTAAAAACAACTCTCACTACAGGCAAAACACTACATTCTTAAACACAAACGGCTTCCATGTGAAGATTTATCACAAGAGTACGGAGAAAAACGACAAAGTCACACAACATTTAGCTCTCCGTGCTTCATCGAATGTTTTTAAGTTACTTGAATCCATGTTTATTTATAAGTAAAAGTAGCAGTTTTTTAAATCACACTTTGTCTCTTGAAAACAGACAGCAGTATGGCATATTTTCAACCCTCCTGACTGTTCAGGCACCTGTAAACGAAGGAGAACGAAGAAATCCTCAAGGGCTTTATGCGATGTCAGTGTTAACAGCAATACAGCTCCTTCGTCAGGTGGCTGTCGATGCTTTCTTCCTGTTTTTCTGTCTTGTCTTGGTTGCTCAGCCAGCCCTCCAGTCTTCCTAGAGCTTAACTGGGACACTAAATGTACCCTAACCCCCCCACCCCAACCCCAACTGCCTCAAACTATCATCTTTTATTATTTTTACATCTCATTCTCCCTCATGCTCATGGTGAAGTGATTTCAGAGGAGTTTTTTATGGGGTATCAAGAAGGTTTGCATGCCTCGTTTAGGTCGCTTGGAAGACGTGGTGTTTGCGCGTGTGAAGTTGATTTCTGTAATAGCAGAATCAGAACAAAGCCACAGTATGAAGCTCCTGTGGATGAGACAGTGCAGTGTGGGGTGTGTGTGTGTGTGTGTGTGTGTGTGTGCGTGTGCGTGCGTGCCAATGATACATGTTTATTTGTTATAGCCAGATTCTTGATTTAATCGTACATGTTGATGTGGTGTCTCTCTGCTTCTGTGAACCATGGCGGCCCTTGATTATTTTGGCGCATGTCATGGGGTTTGGCATTGGACACAGGGTTGCTCCTGCGGTTCTCTCTTTTTGTTTTCAACATGATTTTTGTATTTACTTATATATTTAAATGTCACAGCGAAGTGGAGTGCAAAGACCAATCTGTGTCCTTCTTTAAGACATTTGTGAAAGGTGCATAAAATGTTTTTCAATGCAGTTTTATTTTTCTTTCATTCATCCACATTTGTCATTCAGACAAAAGACCACTGTTTGAGTTGTTCCACGACTGCAACAAACGGAGTGCCTTTATCCCAGTGTGGTGTTAACATAGAGCTAGGTTTCTCTCATTACTGAAGCTTATCGTCCCAGACCTTAATATAAATCAGATGACAGGAGCATTCCGGACGTTCAACGACCTCCACAGTTTCAACGGGAACCAAGAATATATAGGGCAAAACAAAATCACAAAGTACTATTTTGTGTCTTAGCAACATTCTCTGTGACTGTCACCAAATGGATGTGTGTATATCTGTGATTATTTATGAATACGGTATATAATGTACAGCATGATTTTTATTTCAGCGTATTTGAAATGTACTTTTGCACTTTCCAGGTACTAAATTGTAACAAATTGTTTTAACTTTGCTCCCTAATCTGTACAAACTGCTTTGTATACACAAGTGGAAAATGATCATTAAAGTCTTGTCTAAATTTAAAATCAAAAATTTCCTCGTGTTTGTTAGTTTTGTGCAGATATAAAACAGACACAGATGTAATATGTCAAGTTTTATTCAAGGAGATTCAAGGAAATCCAGACTGATGCATTTAATGGTAGCCCAAACTAATGGAAACAGTATTGACGGATATTCAAGAGGAAAGAAATCAACCGGGGCACTGTCTTATGCTGTTTCTTTGTGGTTTTCATGCAGAGATTGGGTATGAGCAGATGGACGCTCTCTTCAGTTCACAGTCGATGGCCGTCCACCAGCTCTCATCTGCAAACAAGCGGTAGGGACAGATTTGTAAAAGACATACTGGCTTGCCTAACGTAACACATAGATGGCGTTTGTAGGCCCAACGTGTGTTGTTACAGGTACTTTACTGTATTTATGATTATTAAGCTTAAGGGACAGAACAAAGAGGAAACTTGTACATCGAGACAATCCGGGTATCCTCAGTGCAAGGCAAAGGTTGCCATGATAATCTTATCAACTCATTCACGTAGCCAGTGAGTTCTCTGAGCTTCTCTGATCAGTGACCCTTTAATTCATAGTACAGCTGAAGGTGTGATTTCACAACCCAAGACTCTCAATCACAATAGTGTGATTAAGGCAGTAAGTATGTGTTTTATCAGCTCAACTAATCTAAGGAAGGTTAAAATCAAGGGAAGCTAGACTTGGTTGAAGATACTCGAAGATTTTTGCCTCATTTGCCCTTGTTTTTTACCCTCTGTAGATTACTATGAATGACTGAAAACCTTCACCGACCGCTCAAGTAATGAATAGATGCTGATGTTAGTTCTTACAATATAAATAACCTGACTAAAAGATCATTTTAATGACACAGGTGGTAAAAATAAAGTTAGCCTAGTGGCCATACCATCCCACCCGGAGTTTAATGAATGGAGAAATGGTTTTAGTATAACAAATGTGCAATGTTTTTTCAAAAGTGATATAGCAGCACTTTAATGGTCTGCCTGTGACATCTCTTCTAGGAAATTCTGACTTCAGACATAAATCAGTTGCTGTGTGTGTGTGTGTGTGTGTGTGTCTCTGTAGTGTCCATGGGCAGTTCTTACCTATCTTGAACATTTCCACACAGACCGGTTTATCAGTGTGAATGTTGGGGTGACCTGGCATCCAGTCACTGTAACGCCACTCTGACCCGTCTACCCATGATGCCTGCTGATTCTGAGGTGTGCGACACCAACACACACACACAGCACATCAAAACCATTCTTATTAAAACACACAATTAACAGTTAACATATTCAGTGGTATGGCAAGTATTCAGACCCTTTTAAGTAGAAGTAGCACTAACACACTCTGTTAGTAGTAAAAGTCCTGTTTTTAAATGTTTTACTTAAGTAGTAGTTTCAAAAATACGGCCCATGTTCCTGATATATTATTATTTACCATTTATAAGATTGTTAATACTGTTGCATCAATGCTTACAAAATATTTCACTGTGTTTGGCTTTCTGGACTAATTTACTGAGAGCTCAGAAACAGATGGAACATTTTAAAATAAAAGTTCAAAGGTCAATGTTTTACCAAGGTAAGAATAACACTATCTGCCCCGTTGATAACATATCTGATGACACTCTCCTTGGCCTTCATGCTGCGCCACAGTACAGGACCAGACTGCTGGCGTCACAGTCAGTAAGCGCTATAAAATAGTGATATGAGATTTCTGAAAACATAATTTAGAGATTGTATTGTGACTCTTTTCTGTCTACTGTAGATAAACAATTAAAGATGTGTTTGGAGAGAGAGAGAGCCTGGATAATGGCACTGCTACATTATGCGGGGTAGACGAGAAAGAACTTGCCTTGACCATGCCTCCTAGCCAGGTCAACACAGGGTTGCTCTCACCACCATTTGTCACTAGAGAAACCAGGCGGGAATGGAGGTCGCCACTGGTTATAGATGCAAGCTCAGCATTTGGGGCAAGAGCTCTGCATAAGACCTGGGGGGGGACAGAAAAGTATGAGATTTAATTTGTAGAGCCACAGACTTTCAATTTGGTGTATTGTCTATAATTGTAATGTGACATGTAATTCGTCTAACCTGTGCATCTTCGAAGGCCAGCGGCGTGGGGTTGAACTCATAGCAGTTTTCATTGATGACCTCCCCCTTACATGCCACGGTCTTTGTTTGGAGCCCGGAGGTGGAGGGTTCGGTTCCTTGTTTAAAGCCCTCTGGGATTTTAAGAATGGGTTCAGTGCCCTGTCTGAAAACATCTGGGATAGACATGAAGGGTTCAGTTCCCTGTCTAAAGCCCTCTGGAAGGTGAAGAGATGGTTCAGTTCCCTGTCTAAAGCCCTCTGGAAGGTGAAGAGATGGTTCAGTTCCCTGTCTAAAGCCCTCTGGAAGGTGAAGAGATGGTTCAGTTCCCTGTCTAAAGCCCTCTGGAAGGTGAAGAGATGGTTCAGTTCCTTGTCTAAAGCCCTCTGGGACCTTACGGACAGGTTCAGTTCCCTGACTAAAACCAGCTGACATAGACATCACATGTTCTACTACTAGCCTAAGGCCATCTGAGGCAGACCTCATGGGCTCGGTTCCCTGCCTGAAACCATAAGGGAGCATCATGATGGGTTCGGTTCCCTGTCTGAAACCATCTGGGATGGACATCTTGGGTTCGGTTCCCTGTCTGAAACCATCTGGGATGGACATCTTGGGTTCGGTTCCCTGTCTGAAACCATCTGGGATGGACATCTTGGGTTCGGTTCCCTGTCTGAAACCATCAGGGATGGATATCTTGGGTTCGGTTCCCTGTCTGAAACCATCAGGGATATGAGAAGCAGAGGGTTCCTCCACACGAATCCAACCGCCACCATTCTTCTGGGCTGGAACGTCAAGAGGGACTGGAAGACAGAAGGCCATGTTAGGTCACCATCTTAGTTTAGTATGTTTGCATGCTAACATTTGCTAATTAACACTAAACATACAACTGAGGCTGATGAGAATGTCATAAGTTTAGCCGACATTTGGTCATAAACCAAGGTACTGGTGGAACTGAAAGTATAAGGTGATGCTAGGTGGACAGTCGTGACCAAACCATCCAACTGTTGTTCAGATATTTTAGTTACAACCAGAAGTGTTGGCATGCTGTTAGGACTAGAAGAAAACTTGCCACGTCTGTATCTTTGTAGTTTGTTGTGGGTGTGGGCTGAAGGTTGTTAAGAGTAAATCGTGGTTAATTTTCTAAACATTTTGACAATTTCACTATTATTGCTCCCTCACCCTTGTCTGTCAGCCAGTGTCTTCTCTCCATCTCTCCAAATCCATTTCCCAGAGAAGGCTGGATGAAAGCTGAAAAATGAAAAACATATCCAGTTTTGTGGCTAAAAAATTCACTCACACAGATACTTAAATTAGCATGTTGGCGTAGTTCCATTAAATAAGCTGCCCAGATGAGGTAAATGACCCAAAAAGAACCCAAATGAGTTAAAGTAATCAGTTATTGTTTAGGTTTGATCATATACGTACCCACTCTCCTGTCCATCTCAGTGATGTGCTCCTGCACCAGGCCGGTGTTGAGGTCAACAAGGAATCTCCTGGAGGGCTCGGTACCTTGTCGGAAGCCATCGGGGAGCCGGTAGGTTGTCCTCTGCAACCTTCGAGGGAGTGCAAGCGGGACAGCCTGGAGGCCTGTGTAGGGTGTTGTTTATTTTACAGTTAGCTGTTTTTTGGCTTCTCCTCGCAAGTTGAATTTCTAACAAAGCAGTTAAACTGAGGGTCTGTATTCATGAAAACCAAAATGAATTAATGAAACTCTTTGAGCTGTGGTTGCACACACTCTTGCCAGTTGACAGATACGTAACCGTTTGGCCTTTCACATCAATTATTAACTATTGTGCCAGAATAATATGTAGACCACAGCCTTTCTTTAATGGTGTAATATTTTCATAATGGTCAAAGTCTCATTTCTGCATGGGTCAGTTGCCACAGTCAACACTTTTGCTGTTAAGACAACAAACCATAAAGAATTATTAAATAATTATGATATTGAAATAATCTAACATAACATCTAACATTCACAACAACCATTAGTCTGTCAAAAAGCATCTAATTGGAAATGTTTATATTTAATATAAAATCATTTTATAAAGCATCATTCATACATTTATTTTATTGTAATTAGACTTTTTATGTCAGTGTCAAGAAATAGATATTTTGTGTTCATGATAGAACAAACCCTGCGAATCACATCATCTGCAAATTAAAGCATTCAGTAACTCGTGTGACATAAAACAAGTGTTTGCAGAGAGATCTTACCTGACAGCGTCAGGAACAGCAGCACTAACTTCAACATCCTGTAAACACCAGAAAAACAGCAACGTTTCACAGACGTCTTTTTAGCAATCAAACTGCTGTATGCTGTAAAAAAGACTTGACAGACTGCTGTAGTGTGGAGACGGTGTGTCAGTTTGTGTGCTGCTTACCTGAGATGGAGGTGGTGAACACTGAGCAACTCGGAAACAAAAAGCTACCCATTAATATGCTACAGTCCTGGTCGTAAAGCCCATTATTTATTGATGTGATTACTGGTATGTGATGCACTTTGCCCCTCAGGTCTTGCCTGATAAAGGTTTGAACACGATAATATAACAGCAGGTAATAAAGTGCAGGCTGTGAACAGTTGACCCCTTACGTAAAGCCCCATCAGCCAAAACAGCCAGTTTTCCTTGACACCCTACTATACTGTACACATCCCGTTTTCGGGGTCTTGTAAATAAGGTGAATGGCACTTGGTTTAATCGAGGGTAGTTCAATCAATATTTGGGAGAGTAGGCAGAGGGTAACCATGACTGGTGCTCATACAGTAGGTGGGACAGGAGTATTTACAGGCCATCTGATGTAGTTGATACACATGCACAGTTTGCTGTCATAACCCTGGTAAGAATTCAGTGCCCTTGATTCCCACTTCTTTTTTTTTCATATGTTAATGATCTTTTTCTATGCAGTTTGCAGAATTATCACCATTTCAGCAATGGTAAAGTCTAAAGATACAGTAGCCTCGGTCATGGATTCTTTATGAAAGAGGTCTATATCTCTGGCTCCATCTGGTGTATATGCAGGAACATACACACTGCCAAACTACCAAATCTAAAATATATAATTTAAATATGTTAAAAATATTTTTTATGGAACAGCATGGCGTAAATATCACGTATTGTTAACGCTTCTCTGCACAAAAGCTACTCAACTCGTTCCTGTTGTCGCGACTAGGTCATGGTGCTAATAACAAGGTGTGTCCTGTTTTAAAACATTTCAAAAGTTCAAGGTCGGGTGTGACAACAAGTTCAACCACTTTGCCGGGACAGAGCGAGTAAGGATGTCCAACATGTGGAGGGCTTTGACCGGGCTTTGACCTTTATTGAGCAACACTTTAGTGTTTCTCGATTTCAATGCTCTGTTCCACGACGGGGTTAGTTAAACTGCTTAAGTGAGCGCTCCCAGGGCGAAAAATACTAACTCCGCCTGCCGGCTGACGCGGTGACTCAAAACGAGCATTAAAACTCGGTCGCCCTGATTTGCGAACTTACGCAAGCACGCACGCAGGCACGTAGAGTAAAGCTGGCGTCAACAGGAAGAGTGGCGGTTCAGCTTTCAAAATAAAAGAGACTTTTGATAATGAAGACGTTTGTGCCCCGAACCGGGTCAGGGTGGAAATGTTGGATTTTAAATCTCTCTAGAGCTCTTATTAAGCAGATTTTAGATTCAACCTCTGTAATCCCAGAAAAATCCCAACATGCTGAAAGGATTAATTAAACTAGTGACGCCTCGAAACGTCACTAATAAATCCTTTCAGCGGGAGGTAGTTGGTGTGCAGATATATCCATTTCAACCAATAATTATGTTTTATATCCCGCTCCCGTCCGAGTGGACTGGGATGTGCTTGTCTTTTTCAAAGATTTTTAATTAACGTTATATTCTGACATTATTTTCATTGCCAGGAATAACTACACGTCTGTCACGTTTGCTGATTGACCAAACGTGTGCGGTGTGATTGCAGCCCGAAACCATTTGTGTGCTGCTTAGTAGCTTATTATCACAAGACAATCAATCAGCTAATTGACCCGGGATCTCAGAAAACGAGCCGGTTGCCATAGGTTCAAGTTAGACGTTACGCAACGTGACATTGACAGAGTGAGATCCAGCAGATAAAACAAGCTAGCTTAGCTAGTAGCTAGCTCGGTGGGCTGAATCAAACAACTTCAGGTGTCTCGCCGGTGAGAAGGAAAGAGCTCGGCCGAAGAGGACTGTGTAACTCAAGGTGTCTGTGTGTTTGATAGTTTCTCAGCTCCTTTTTCGACTTCTTGTCTACTTCAAATGGCTTTGGTAACCGCGCTGAGGAGACTGGCTCCCTGTAGCATAAGAGAGTACTCCAGGAGGACGGCGGCAGTAACTTCGGGTGCCTGGCTGACGGGTCGCAGGAGTTTGACCGCCGGCACACAGTCTCTGAGGTGGGTGACTTTACTGAGAGCAAATACGCTTAACCCGGGGTCTCTGTCTTGTATGGACAGAGCCTCACGCCAAACTCCATTCAGAAAACACGAAGTTAAACATGACCTTTCTTGTCACTATCGGTGCACGTCTGCCAGAGTTCAGCAGGTAGAACATGGTGAAGACCGTTTAACGCCCATTATCCTTTCTTTTGCTGGGGTGAGTTATTTATTTTTCCTTATGCGACACATGAGTTGGAAACTTCTGGCAGAACTCACTCGTTAAGCCTTGAGGTTTAACTGAAACAAACTGCTGCTTGGTTTGCCCTGTAGTTACACTTGGAAAATTACCTAACACCGGGTTGAGGTTAGATTAATATTTGATATTGGTAGGTTTTCAGAGGGCTGTTGCCTTCAATAGCTCAGTGTCAAAACATCTGTCTCCCAGTTTTAGGATATGCCAGAGAGCTCATTTATGCAGATGATTCATAGTTTACAAAAATAATGATGCAGTTGAGAAATTTGACTAACACGTCTAACAGGTAGGCTTGGGTAACGTTAGGGGAGCGTCGTAAAAGTGCAATATGACCCATCTCAATCTTTAATAACCTTTTTTTTGTTTTTGAGTATAGACTGCTCAAACCATTATCAATATAGAGTGACCACCCTTAAACATTTCATAGTTCATGTTCACAATCATGATTATCTTTGACCTATTTCCTTAACTGGACACATTGCAATGTTGTGATTTCAAAAGTTTGCTCCTTTTTCTGACATCAAATAATCTAAAACTTTGTATAACTTTCACAGCTATTATGTTGTGGGGGGGAAAGGTGCTTTAAGAAGTCACTCATCATGTTGCCTTAATGTACATTTCGAGGTTGTAATTTCAATAGCTGCACTAGACAGAGGTGAGTTGATGCCAGCATATCCAGAAATGAGCAAATTACTGAAAATACAACCTTAAAGTTGAAAAAAATGCGTAACTCATAATGTTCACAAACTAAACAGCTGTGAAAGTTGTGGGATGATGTCCAAGACGTGGTTCGATGTCGGTATATTCACAAATGAGCAAGTTATTGAAATGTCCACCTTGCAATGTGCATAGTTGACCCTTCGCTCGGCCACGCCCCGAATACAAAGCTGACCAATCACAGCGCAGTGTAGGACTCGCTATAAACTGAGCTCGGACACTTTCGTGGATGCGCTACATTGATGCAAAGGAGTCGTTTTCTTTGTTTTTATTTATTTTTTTACCCGCTGCCCCACTGTTCCTGGGGCACTTGTAATCATTACAGTCGCTACCCAGAGAGGTTGATAGGAGAAGTGCGATTTATTCTCTTTCCAAAACCTAATGTAAAATAAATCAGGGGGGGCTTAATGAAGGGTCAATTAAGGAAATGGGTAAATGGATTTTTATGGGGGGGTTAACTCAAAGGTGTGAAATGTTTAAGGGCTGTCACTTTGATAAATGCCGTGGTTTAAGATTTATGTTATTAAAGATTGAAATGGGTCTTATTGTAATTTTAGGACAGTCCCCTATGTACATGGACAGACATTCAGCTCTTTGCACTTTAAACTGCATCATCCTTTTTGGTGATTTATTAAATTTTTTTTTGAGTTGATCAAAACTGAATCGTCTGCCTAAATGATCTCTCTCTCCTATCCCAAAACGAGATATCGGCTTTGACACAGAGCTATTGAAGGTAACAGCGGGAAAACTGACAAATGTCAAATATTAAAACTAACTTAAAGCAGTCAGCGTGGCTGCTTGAAAGTTGTAATGTGTGTTGCACCATTTAAAATGTCACGTTTGTGAATGGAGTTTGGGGTGATATGCTTTCCCCAAATAAAGTATTTAGTGTTTTAAAACATGATCAAAATTACTCGCAGCATGATATGGTAAATTGAAACATACTGATTAGATGTGGATTTAGTTTTTAATGAAAATCTGGCCATCTCAATGTGTGAAAACTATTGTGCCACAAAAAACCTCAACAGAGTGGCAGTTATCCTCTTAGAAAAGGCAGATTGAACCTTAAAGGAGGGTAAGTCTTCACATGTCCACAAGGCTCGTGTGATCCACCTTTCTGCTGGGGTACAAGGCTTTGACCAAGGCTAGGCTACCCAGGGCCAAATAACTTGATGAAGTGCCAACTCTCCCAGACTGAAGGTTTTGCTTCCCAGGCTGGCCTTAAACTGGTTGACACCGTTTGTGTGTGCTCACATCAGGCAGGCACGGCTGGCCCAGACCCCCCCAACCAAGCTGTCATTTTCTGGAGTCCACTTGGGCGATCAAAGTTTCATGCAGTTATTACCAAGTCTGCCTAAAAATGTCATGTAGCACAGGAAAGTGGAGGAAGCAGAGTTTAAAAGCAGATTACTCAGGGTTCATATTGGTCCTGAGATTTCCAGAAGGTCGTTGAGTTTAACGTGTTTGTCCGGGGGAAGTCTGTGAATTGACTGTGTTGTGCGTTCATATGCTGTTAAACAGGCAGTAGTAACACAGCTTTGTGTAAGAGCTAGACCTCTGAAGTTCAGTGGCGGTGCAGTTAAGGCAGCCTGTCCTGTGTATGCAGTTAAAAAATAACTGTAACACCAGCTCAACAAAGTTTTTGCTGACACATTGGAGAAAAATTGACTATTTTGTTGCCTTTGAATAGCTACAGAGGGGGATAAAAGTACTCGCAGTTCCTTCTTTCTGGCTCTGTGCTACAATTTATATTGTCTTGTACTCTGGATTTTTTTTTTTTTTTTTTTTTTGTGCACAGCCGCAAAGGAGTTTCTTGTAAATTCACAAATATTCCAATGTTCATAGCACAGACTCAAATCCCTTGTTAAAACCTAAACTTGCCCTGCCTGTGGTTGTAGTATGAAGCTGGAAAAGTTGGCGTCTTAACTTGATACCCCACTAAACATTCACGGGCAGTTGATTAGTGACGTGACTAGCAAGGCTAAGCAGATAAAAAATGTTTATCCTCGCCCCGAATTACCCGGAACAGAAACATTCATTGACTGGATACAGTCAGGTTTTGTCAACTTCAGCACAATGGACGAATGAGTCTCGTACTGCAGCTAAAAATCATGTCATACACACTGTGAATTCTTAATTATTTTATATAGTGACAGCTAAACAGAGGTTTATCATATTTTTGGGCGCATTTTCTATGCAAGAGACTGTTTTGTTGATGCTGTGTGAGGGGTAGTGAACTACTCGGATAAACCTGTGGTTTTCCTGATGTGTTTGGAGGCACCGTTGATTTTTATATTGGTTTGACTAATCTGATAATTTGTGTTAACGCTGGGCTGGAAATTGGCTTACCTTTAAACCTTTTTTATTTGAGAGCTGGAGAACAGAAGTCTGTTTATGCTGAAAATATATAAGACCGTCATAAGAAATGACACTGCACAAAGGGCTCAACCATAGAAAGCAACTCCTGCTACGTATTAATGTCATTGTGTTGTAGCGAGCATCATCATGCTTATTCTTCTTGAGGTACTCGAGTGTAGACGAAGTAGGATCAGTTTATATTTTTGTTTTACGGGTTTTCCAAATGTTTGTCGAGCTCATTTACCCTATATAGGCAGAACCACTTCTTTTTGTTCTTTTTTTCTCTTAAACATTTACCATAGTGGTGGATTGTACGTAACACTTCAAGTTTCCTGCATGTGGTTATTTTTGATTTGTAGTTTTTGCATGAAAAATGAGTTGAATGATTGATCATTAATTGGTATCAGCTAATAGCGGCAGCTCTAGATTTGTATTAGCTCTTATTGTCTATGAAGATTCTCAGTCATCCAGGTCATAGTTATCCAACGAAGGTTAAAATCAAGGGCAACTGGACTTGGTTGAAGATACTGGAAGACGTTTCGTCCCTCATCCGAAGGACTTCTTCAGTTCTGACTGACTGGCAGGGAAACTCAGCTATTTAACCTCAGTGGGGTCGTTATCCCGGGTCATCGATACCGCTGGTTCGTTAGTGTTCCTTGTTGCTGTGACGACAGTCAGGTCAAGACTCTGCAGTCTACTTACATTTGAAGGACAGAGGACACTCATTTGAGGACCACCAGGTGCACATTTTAGACAGAGAAGATGGATGGTTTGAAAGAGGTGTCAAGGAAGCATCTACACCAGGGTTGAGAAGCCGTCATTGAACAGGGGAGGGGGTCTACGCCACCACTTATCCCCCACTTACAATGCTGTCCTTTCATCACTTCCCAGGAAACTCAACAAACCTAACCTATTGGCCTCAGGTGAAGTTACCAACGATGGTCGTTCAGTCTTGGCCACAGGTAGTCTTAACGACGGTAACGACTGTCGTCACAGCAACAATCCTGTTCCAATATCCAATATCCTGGAGATGAATTAAACTGACTAGTGTGATAAGGGAGTAAACTGTGCTTGTATGGATAAACAAGACCGTAATGATTGTGTATATAATTTATCTTGTTCTGAGTGTCCTACATTAATGGTTGGAGGACATCACTACAAGTGGACCAAGTGTTCAGAAATCAGAGGGCAGCAAGATGTCGGTCAGAGCTGTAAGGAGCCTAGCAAGAGTCGTTTGAGGTTACAAAAGAGCAATTTGTGTGCAATTGAACAAAAATATCCTTCTTTCTTATCTAGTTCCTATCTTACCATATAAATGCGTAAAAATAAGAAGAAATAATTGGTAAACTAATGCTGTTGTGTGTGTGTGTGTGTGTGTGTGTGTGTCAGGTCAGACCATAAGGTGACAATCCACTTCATCAACAGAGACGGGGAGAAGATCACGGCGAAGGGGTCACCCGGAGACTCTCTGCTAGATGTGGTCATTAATGAAGACCTCGACTTTGATGGCTTCGGTACGTAGCGCGTACACACCAATGGGTGTGGGGTTGTATCATAGACTGAGTTGTAAAGGTTTGGATTGGTGTAATCGGCAGCCTCTTTCCCTTCATCACTCATTTTTAATACCGTTTCACTGGCATGCCTCGACCTGCTGTCTTACAAGGAGACGTGCAGCAACGCCGCCCCTCTGCTGAATCTCATCCTTCAGATAAAGTTCTAAAAGTGTGTGTTTGTGTTTTGGCTTCAGGAGCATGTGAGGGAACATTGGCGTGCTCCACATGCCATCTGATCTTTGACGAGGAAGTCTACAAGAATCTGGGGCCAGTCACAGACGAGGAGATGGACATGTTAGACTTGGCCTACGGCTTGACTGACACGTAAGGACATGAACACACAAGCAGGCTCTATTGTCCAATTTGTACGGAGGTCCCAACCTGCCTTTTTAAATATAACATGTAATATTTGTAGCAGGGCTGAACAATTAATTGAAATGGCTATATGGCTAACAAATATTGCAGGACAGGCAATATTTGTTAAAGGTGATATGTGTCAAAATATAAAACATTTCTCAGTGGCAGCATGTTATTCAGATGCAACTGTTTTTAACAGTATATTAACCTTATCAGGCTTTGGTTACATAGATGCTTGTTACTTACATTATTCATCTTTCAGTTGTATTTTCTACATAATGTGCTGATTTAAAAAAGAGCAGTGTCAGCTGAATCCTTTAAAAAAAAAAAAGTGGTGTCACACCGGCAGACCTTTTTAAAACGATGAAATTAGAATATCGTGGAAGAGATCAACAACTCAGGAAAGCCTTGCAGGTTTTTTTTTGAGTGAAATAGCTTACAAGAGCTCTTAAGTCGACATTTTTGAATTATAAATTTTTCTAAAACATTTTGATTTCCATGAGGTATAAGCCATAATCAAGATTAAAACAAAAGAAAAGGCTTGCAATATTTCACTTTGTAATGGATCAAGAATATACATTTTATTTTTAATTAAATTACTGTAGAAAATGTGTAAAAGTCTTCCACAAAATTATAATTCTTTGAGATGTACGTGTATGTATGTATGTATGCTGCAGGTGCTCAGTTCAAGTTCACCATATTTAAAAAATGGCCTATCACTACTATATAGAGGTGATTAAAGGACATAAATAAATTAAATGTCTGTTCCTGAAAACATGCTGACCACTAAGATAAAGACTTAATTCGCCACACAGATCTCGTCTGGGTTGTCAGATCTGCCTGACGAAGTCTATGGAGGGCATGACGGCCAGGGTTCCAGACAGCGTAGCGGACATCCGACAGAGCAAAGATGGCTCTTCTTAACCGGGGACCTGTGGATGCAGACAGTGTGGGGTTGTGTGAACAGGGACAACGGTGGGTATAAATCTGTCGGTACTGTTGCCGCAATATTGTTTCAGCAAAACAAAACTTTTAAGTCACAGACATGTCAAGCCAGCTCTCAATTACCAGGACAGAAGAATACAGGACTTGGACTTTTTATTTTTTTTAATAGAAAGTAAATCATATACATCATATCTCTGCCTGTTAATCTGCCCTGAATTTAAGGTTTGTCCATTTTAATCACTGTCAGAAAAATGTTTATTTGTCCTTTTATGGATCACTTTAAAGCAACCAGCAAGATTTCGGCTCAGACCACACATTAACGCTCAGACTGTACACCTCCAGTTCGTGGCTGTACCTTCGACTATCCTAAAGTATCTTGTAACTATGACTAAATTTCCACACGTTCATTTAATTTTTGAAATGTCTTCTCTTTGTGTGTAAATTCATTCACTGAAATAGGGGAAGGAAAAGGTGCACAGCTGACTGCAGCCTGTGACTGAAATGTTTGTGAACAGTTCTCGACGCCTTACGAGATTGGGCTGATGCTGACCCCTCCCCCATTATTTTATTCTACACATGTATACCCTATTATTGGTTTGATCAAATCCTTCATGTAACCATATAATTCCATCATGTGATTGTACATAGCTAGAACACACTCATAACTGTGTATAGAGAGAAACATAATGTAATAAAAAAACACCTTTCTAATGGCGTGTTGAACTGTCAGTTTGTACGAGATAGATATATATAGATGGATAAAAAAGAGAATCAGTTTGAAATGGCATATCCTGTTTTTTGCACAAAACTTAAAGCCTCCTTTTCTCCTACCAGTTACCACAAATGTAAACCAATAATTGCATCAAATTCATTTTATTTGCAAATGCAGATTTTTAGCCTTATACAGCGTGTGAATACATTTTACATAGAAACGAGGCATAGAAAGTATAATAAAGCAACAGTCTTGTGGCCTAAAGGTTTCAGCTGCATAAAATATAAAGCTTTAAAAACATATTTACATAATAGAAATATTGGGACAGCACGCGTGTGATTAATTCAGTCAATACAGGCTTGTGTGAAAACCACATTGTTGGCAACAAATGGAAAACAAGGATCATACCTACTGCATGTAGGTGCTGCAACGCTTGTGACATAAGTGATAGTGCCGAGAAGCATTTGGAATGCATGTTGTGTAGAAAATACTTTTAAAGAACAGTTAATGCTTTTTATGACCAAATATTTAAAGAGCAAAGACTCACTACATCGGTGTGTTGCCTAGAGAAGTCAGTTGGATGTTATTCCACTACCTCCGTAGACACTAGTTGGCAGAAAGCAGCACAAACGTCAGAACAGCTGTTAAAGTTCTTAATATGCATGAAAAGTGTAAATAGTGAATAATTACATCTCCTTAATCTACAAAACTCAGCTTGTGTATATTTTAAAACCGTTAAATGCAGAAGTGGCTCTGAATCTATAATCCTCGTTGTAAGAGCTATTATAAAAACAGTTTTGTTGTGAAATGACTACTCCGAAAATACTCTGACGTGGTGTAAAAAGCAAAGTACAGTGTGTACCCAGGCTGCATTTACACTACAGGCCAAATTAAATTAAAACACATTTTCTAATTATATCCCATATCTCCTGTTATGTTCAAATGTAACTATTGAGTACATTTATTAATAGAGTACCAATGCAGGAAAACAGAGTGACGTCATATTGTTTTAAAAAGTAGTGCAGGGCGAAAACAGTAAAGTTTACGTCCTACTTAATATCAGTGTTGAAACTGAAAACAATCCTTTACCATTTCTTCACTGTGCTTTAGCTGTCATGCTTGGAAATGTCTAAGAGTAAAATGTGAAACAACTGCATATGAACATGCATTGTAGGAGTTGCTGTACTTTTACCATAATCTGTTTAGGCTGTACTTTTACAGCATAAAGCGGATGTATGTGTCCAAACATAATGCTGCAGTACGAGCAGAAATCTTGAAGTTAAACCTAAAGCAAATGTGTTTTCTTTAGAACTCAGCTCATGTAAGTTATCCAATGACCAGTCACTAAAGGGAGATTGTATTTATGATGAAAGAAGGCAACAACAGGTAGTTTTAATTGGCAGGTTTAAACTTTTGGCCTGATAGTTTAAAAATCTGTTGAGACTGTGAAACATGTTATTTTTTATATAAATAAGGTTATTAGTAGTATTCCTTCTGTGTAAATCCAGCCTTGAGGACATTCAAGCAAAAACAAATTCCCTTAATGGCAATAAGCTCTAGGCAAAGTTTAAAATAGTAGTTGTTTGTTTTGTTTTTTTAATCTACCTAGTCATGTGAGAAACTATTCTTCCTGTTTCTTCTATTTCAGCAAACCTATTTAATTTCAAGTCCTGTTACAGACTTAGGCAAAATGTATTGCATGATTGAGCTCTGCACATTTAATGAAACCGAAAAGCAGTAACTTTTAAGGTGGTGAGTATAATAACTAATTTATTCTTAACAGCAGTGACGTCATGTATTTAGTTAAGTGATGCATTTATCTAATGTAGTGTTTCTCCAGGTTACATTCAGTATCAGACGTAGGATTCTTCAGAAAACAGAAGCTGGTCGAAGTCTGGTTCTGCTTTGGGATCACTGCATCTCTTCAGCCATTCTTTGCGGCTCTCCACCAGGGCGTGCGCCACCTGCTGGCTGCTCTGGGGATTACTGCGAGGGTGAGAGGAGAAGTAATCCCTCACTGCTTTGGTGGCTACGGGGGAAAGCCAGAAACGGGCCTCTGATGTCCCTCCCTGTGAATCCGGCTCGGTAACCTTCAGTCCTGGGTCGCTGGGCAGCCTTGCCCGTGTGAGGGTGGAGGTTTGGTCCACAACCTGCTGTCCGGGTTCTGACCCCCGCCGCTGGTAGAGCTTGGCGTTGCATTCCTCCTCGACGGAGTGAGACTTCTTTTGCTTGAACAGGGACAGAGATGGCCCGCTGTGCTTGTAAAATAAAGACGGGGATGGGACTGGCTTCTTCGGCTCACTCTGTTCACTTTCTGCTGCGCTCCTGTGATCGCTGATGTCACCGCCGGCGTTGGCAGCATAGCTGAGCTGCCTGTTGTTTAGCGGGGAGTTTGCGGAATGAAACCAGGGGGATTTGGGAATTTGGAGACTCCCTGTAGAGCGGTGGTGGGAAGGGGGGCTGGAGGAGTCTCGTGTAAGATGTCGGGGCTTCTGCGGCTCCTGGCAAGGCCTCCCTCTAACGTGCCCCCCCCCTTCTCCTCCTGCATCTTTTGAGGCTCTGCAGGATGTTTTGGACTTGGGTTGGCTGCTGGAGATCAGCTTCCCTCCTCCCCTTTCGCCTGCCTTTACTTTCTCTGGGACGAGTTTCCCGAGCGGCTTCTCCCCCTGTTTGTAGAAACATACGGTGTATTAACCTTTTGAGAACAATATCTGGTGAAGAGAATCTAAGGTCTGTTTGTTAATGATTTGGCATCTCACGACCTTTATTCACGGACCTGAGTTGGCTTAAGTTACTTTCGGGTCATAATACGCACATTATGGTTCTAGGATGGTGTCTGACGTGGGATTTGGGTGGGCTCCCTGATCTTTCTTTGGCTGTTTAACAGCTCTAGCTTGATAGCTAGTCAACTCCTTGACCAGTTTTGCTCTGGTCTTGTCTTGCTTCTGGAGATTCTTTGTAGCTTCACCTATGTTCCCACAGCTGCTGCAGGAAATACCATAATTCCTGTACACAAGGGTCTCCTGTCATGAATGCAGGTGTCCAGGATCAGCAACTTACCACCCTGTTCCTGCTCACCAGTAACCTGGGGTCACTGTACATATTAGCTACAGTAGTGGACCTGGATGACCACATGGCTGTGCCTTTTTAGTTTGTTTGGATATGATATGTAGTGTCAAGATACTTCTCCAGCAGCTGTCTAATCTAATGACTAACTGCTGCCTCGGACATGTTACTAGACAGTCCACTGACATCAAGGTATAGCACGCCATTATGAATACTTAATACAAAAAATTTAAAAGTCACTACTTAAAAGCTACTAGTACTTATTTATTAGTTACCAGTAACTATTCACGTTTTGCTAATAACTAAAAATTAAGTACTAGTATATAATCAATTGTTATAAGTAAACTTGTAACAATTGATTATGTAGTAGTACTTAACTTTTAGTTACCAGTAATTTTCGTTTTACCAGTAACTAAAAGTTAAGTACTAGTGTATAAATTCACTTCAGATCTGTCCTTTTTAATATTTAATAGCTAATTTGCATTGTTGAAGATATCTTCTTATGTCTGAATAGTTACTAGTAAAATGAACAGAGTTACTGGTACCTAATAGTAGCTTTTAAATAGCAACTAGTAAGTTTTTACGGATACTATCCTTACTGTCAACAAGCCATTTTACCAGTCACTAGTGAATAACTAGTAACAAGATTTTACTATGGCAAGCCGTTCTAACATTAGTCCTTTATAACTTTTTCTAGACGCTATTTAAAGCTATTAGTAGGCTATTCCATTAGTCACTAGTAATTTCCATTTTACTAGTCACAATTATTTAGAAATTTTTTAGGTACTAATAACATTTCAATTCTTACTATAACAAGCCATTCTAGTCTTTAATGAATGACTAGTAACCCAAAAAAAAATGTACTAGTATCTTTTAGAATTGGATTTACTAGTTTCTAATGAATCGGTACTAGTATCTAAATAGTTACTAGTGAAATGGTTACTAGTAACTAATGAATAGGTGATATCTGAAGTGCCTCATAGATTTCAATGTCAAAAATGTGCAATTAGTAACTAATTAGTAGTGGCTTTTAAATAGTTACAAGTAAGATTTAAGGAAAGAGATTTAAGTCCTTAATCTTCTGAACATGATCTCCACTGTTCTTAATTTGTCTGTCCCTTTCAGCCAAGGGCCCAATTACATTTGCAAGAAATGTAGCTGACTGATAAGGGATGCTACCAACGTTGGAGACGGTGAGTCTTGAGAGCGTTTATGTACCCTTTTTTATTTAAGTCTTCTGCTGTTGGGCACACCTGTTTCCAGAGGAGATGACTTTGTTCTCCTTCCACTCTTTTCAGGACCACAATGAGCGTTGTAATTCAGGTGATATTATCCCTTAGAAGCATTTGACTTCTAGTTTCATACGTCTCAGTATCAATTACATCTACACCTCCCTTTTTCTCTGCCAGCAGGTAATGATTCGTCCTTTCAAAGCTCCATCAGGACTTCCAACATTTGAACAACCTGCCCGTAGACAAAAGGAGGGTAACAGTCCCAACAGCTATGTTAACCTTAATTTAGATCGAACACAGAAATACTAGACTAGTCGCAATCCTAAGAGTGGACTGAGAAAGCAATTACCTCCTACGTCCTCTGGAGGAAGTTGTATCCAAGAACATGACAAAGTTTTTGGGCTAGCAAAGGTACATGAAACAGAGATGCCTCTTAGACATATGGCATCCAGCGTTGGTAGTATCAGGTTCAATCAGCAACATTTATTTATACAAGTGCTATATTAAGAACAATGGGGATTTTATAAGACTCCTCTCTCTCCTCTCTCTCGTGTCTTTAGAAGTCAAAGCACTGTTTAGTAGCATCCTGACTGAGAAAACACTAAGGGTAAATGGGCCGCAGCTAACATAAGACCTCTTCTGGAAAGACAAAATTAACTTTAATTTCATTATCCACCTGCTAGACACATGTCCAGACAAAACATATTTAATTATAGATTTTTAATCAGGTCACCATCTTCCCATTTGTAGCTAACCTGCATGTGGAATATTTTTAAGAGACTGCTTTGACTGGTACAAGGACAACAAATTTCAACATCAGTTTGACCAGTGAGCAGGAAGAAGACAGGAAGCTGCAGATGCTAGACATCTGTGTTCATGTGAAGTGCGATAAGATAAAGGCCACAGGAAACTCACCCTCACTCATAAACACCTTAAATCCAACTGTAACCACCACTAACGACACAAGATCACCGGTGAGGACCTTCCTACACAGAGCAGAATATCTAGTCAGTGAGGAGAGGACAGAGACAATAAGACCCATTGACTGGGAAGGGGTCATCGACCAAGAGCCAGCTGACGCTATCTGACACTAGAGAACCATGACAAGCACCATATTGTCTCCTACATATGACTGCTTGTTATGTGAAGTTCATCTTGCTAAAATGACCTTTTTAACTTCACATCCCTCCAATAACAGTTAATTGAATACAAAACAATTAAACTCTAAACTTCCTGCAGATGTTTCAAATTAAAAGCTTTCCATGACTGGTGGGGGGATTATGCTACATTTGAGCAGCTGGAAGGCTTTTGTTTTGAAACATCTGTGCAGCGCCTGGAAAGTAGTCTAAGTGACTAACTGAGACATGACTTTAATTTTTACATCCATGTTTGACATAAATAGTGGATAATGTGATTCTACATATGCTGCTATAATTAGTTGTGGTGTGTGTGTGTGGTTTTTTTGTTTTGTTTTTTTTTACTCACCCGAGTCTGGTCCTCTTCATCCTTCTCCAAGTTATCTTGTTGGGTTAGTGACAGCCTCCGGCCTTTCTTGAGCCAAGAGTTTGGGTGGAGGCCTATACAGCCTTTTAAGGTCCCCCAAGTGTGTGGTTCTTTAGGTGGGGAGCCTTTTGCACAAGTCCCCAGGTCTGGATGTCCGCCGGAGGTCAGAGCAGAGCTTATGGTGGAGGGTGCTGAGGGGAAAGAAGAGGGAACAGATGCAGAGGAGGGGTTGTAGGGCAGATTTGTCTTGGTTGGGTACTGCCCCCGTCTCGTTGCCCAGGTGTGACCAGTGCTGAGGGACTGCAGGGAGTCAAGAGAGTCCAGGGAGGAGCGGGTTGGTGCAGGGGAGGTGGGGTTAGAGGAGAGGCTGGAGGAGCTCGCTTCCATAGCTGGTGACCTCAAACCATGCAGGTTTAACGCGGTCTGACCTCGGAAGTGTGCGTTAGCGAGTGTGTGGCAGTTGGAAAGGTCTTCTTCACAGTCTTCTTCTTCACCGTCTTCATCCTCACCTGTTAGACCGTCGGTGCTCCCTGAAACGCATGGCCGAAACTTGGCCATGTATGCTATAGCCGGCTCTGAACGCCGCCGTCGTCTGTGCCGACCATCCAGGGACAGCGAGTCCAGGTTGGGTGAGGTGTCCGCTGCCAACGCATCTTGGCTAGGGCTGGTGAGTTCTGGGTCTTGTCTCCTGCCTCTGGTTCTCCCCAGCGGGTGCAACTTTAGACCCTGCAGACTCTCATCTTGGGTCTGGTGTGCATCTGGGGTCTGTGTCCTGGTCGTAGTCGCTGAATGTGAGGATGGAGTCCAGGCTGCCTTGTAGTGGTTTGGGTCTAAGGGGCCTTCTACTGCAGTAGCCTGGTGACCCACCGCTGCTGTTGTCTAACTCGTTCTCTAGGCTGTCGTAGGATGAGTCAGTCAGAGGGTACTGCCAGGACTCTGTTGGTCCGGGGTAAGGACGAAGAGTTGACGCACAAGGAAAGAGGAGGATGACAGACACAAACTGTTTTTACATAATGTTGCAAATGGGGAAACAAAATTTGCAACTGCAAGCCACAAAATACTTGATGCAGAATGTTCTTGTGGAGATTTCAGTGACATTAATGTATACCTTTTAATGAAACCATGAATAAAAATCACATTTTCCACGTTTTAATCCTGCTGTGAAAATATTTCTTGTTATATGCCAAACATACGTCCAAATAAATTGACATCAAAATGCCTCTTTTCTCTTCCTGTTAAAATATTTGGGGCGACTAGCCATTAGCTCAAGGGTCACAATAGCATAACAGGTAGGAACATCATGGGCCAGAGGTGTGTGTTTGGATCATTTAGTTTCAAAAGATTTACACAGCTCATTAAAACTACAGTACATGTGTCCATATTGGTTAAAGGACTATTCTAAATGTATGCGGGAAGTAAAGACCTGTAACTGTCTGTCTTGACTTGAACACACAGTTTGTCATGTTTCAGTTCTGTACCTGATCCGAACTCATCAGTGTTGGGTCTTTGTGGCGGCCCTCCAAACAGGGCGGAGGGATCCTCTCCCAGAATCTGCTGACAGTGTTCGATCATAAACTTCACCAGCTCACAAACCTGCAGCAGAGAAGAGGAAGAGTGTTAATAGTAGTTTTAGCATTTGTCAGAGTTCAAACATTTCAAGGCTGCGTGGACGCACTTTGACACTCTTATCTCCTGCCTGCATCATTTCTGAGCAGTTTCAAGGTATTACAACGCAATCATTAAAGATGTAATTAACAAACACAAAGACCTTGTTCCAAAAATCTGTCAGTCGACAGATTAGGCAGCTATACACTTATTTGTGAATGATACATTTTTGGTGAAAACATGCATGTATGATTGATATCCATGCTTGTAACTAAACATACTTGTTACCCAAACATGATGTTAAAATGTTCTGAAGAGAATGTGGTTTCTCTTTAATGGAAATACTTTAATAAATGTATACCATATATTTTCCAAATCAAAGAAGGTTTTCCTGATAAAGGTGGGCATTTGGCTTACGACTGTTTCTTTGGATTGCAATGCCTGTGCTATTTTTAGTGTTTTTTAAGGCCAAAATTAACAAACTTCTCTTTGTTACTGTGACATGACTTAGACCAGAGGTTTTCAAAGTGGGAGTTGCCTCCCCAGGGGGAGCTCAGTAAATGGAAGTAAAAAAAAAAAAATATTAGTACAGTAGTTTTCAGGAGATCAGAGAGACACCTAAATGTGTGCAACTTGGTTCAAAGAAACAGTAGTTTGGGGAATTTTACTGCTTTTCCAGGGTCAGAAACTAATAAATGCCTAAGGACAGACTTTTTTTGTGCATTCGGTTTAGTCCCGACATTTTGTTAAACAGCACAATTAGGCTATCTTGGCTCTGTAGTTGAGTGTCCACGTGATCATCCCATAGGCATCAAGAATGTAGTAGTGTATTTAGACATATTTTGGTGAAACTATGATAGAAAGATAATGGGCACACAGATGGACAGCAGATAAGTGGTTTAAAAAGGTTTCTGTGGACTCTGGAGTCCTTTAAAACTGACTGAGTTCAAGCTTTTCCCAGCTGCTGTTCTCTGTTAATGAGCAAACTAACATTTTAAACTGTCAAAGCTGCACAACTCCCTTCCCCTCTCACCTTCTTAGTTCCTTCTCCCTCCACCTCAGGGCTACCAGGCGCTCCAGGAGGCCAAAGCATGCTGGGAGCGATGCACACCGATAAATTGAAACTCGTCATCTGGTTCTCGTGGGCGTTGCCCTGGATACCGAGCAGCATGGCCAACAGGTAGCGTAGCAGCAAGGCGTTTTCTTTGGGCAGACGACCAATCATCCTGCAGGGAGACAGAATCAGGTGATAGGAAAACAATACTATTGTGTGTTAGTGTTAATAGCAAAGTCTCTGAAAAATCATGTCATGGTCCAACATTTAGACTTTTACAGATGTTCAGTTTAGAGAGTGTGCGTGTTACCTCAGTATGTCCTGCACTTGTTCTTCCTCCTCCTCTTCTTCCTCCAGCACATCCATCCACTCTTCATGCAGCTCACAACACAACAAGCTGCCTGGGATGCTGCGCAAGAACTCCTGCAAGCATGCACACATCAGGAAACCTCACCAGTGTTTTCTTAAGAGTATGTACGTCTGAAAAAATGTATCATTCAAAATAAGAGTAAAATTGATTTTCTCCTGTTTGTTCCTAAAAACTCAGTCAGTATTAATATATTTCCAGGTTTTTGTTAAGTGAATTGGTGTAAGACTTTTTTTAGTTAAGGTGAGAGTAATGAATGTTCACTTCCATATACCGCAACTGACTGAGAGAGCAACATGGCTGTGGCAAATATAAATGATGCAAATGAGCTGCCGAGTAAAGACGTGACACAGTTTAGCACTCGTGCACAGAAGCTTACCCATCATCCCTGCAGATAATAAGGTGATAATAATAATTATAATCCAGATCACATTAACAAGCCTATCTCCTCTGCTGTGAACAGCTTGTCCTGCTAACATGGCTGCAGAGCATGTAATAGAGGCTGAGTAGGATGGAAGCGGATTAATTTTGTGCTTCGATGTGGGTCAAGAAGGTAACTGACACATGTACACAATCTGTTTACCAAAATGCTGTTGATTATTTCTCAATCATTAGAACAGGGGTGTTTTTAAACACCACCTGTTGAGTTTGAACTCAAATATACACACACACACACAAAAACACACTCAAGCTGTCACACCTTAAAGACTCCGGCAATGATAAAGATGTTGTCTCTTGACAGAGGAAGTTTAAACTCTCCGGAGTCCAGAGAGTCCCGCAGCTCTCTGACAGACCGAGCCCCCGCTGGCCGACGGAAGATGCCCCGCGTCCACGAACCCTCATGGTACAGAAACGCCAGCATGTCCTGGTGAGGGAGAGGACGTGAAATAAGGGAAACTAATGTCAGTGAAGCTTGTTGTTGATAAAAATATTACAATGAAAAACATTGGGAAAGAAGCGGAAATGCTCCTTTTCCTCCTTTTCCTCTCAGTTGCTAAAGGGGCGTGTAGGTGTCTGCTGAGCCCCGGCGGGGAAACAAGAGACAAAGTAAAGAGACTGTAGTGAACAAGCTTTGGACCGTCTGTTTGCAGTGGTGCTGAAGAGTAAAGACTACACTAGCATCTAAAAAGGACCATAGTGACATTTACAGATTAATCATCTTCTTCATCTCATTATAAAACCCTCTAATAAAATGACTAATTTACCTTTAAAGTTTTTAAGTTGTTTAATGTGTTTCATCTGAGCAGCTAATGAGCTATATAGCCTACACACTGACGTCAGCAGCGCACTTTTCCCCTGTAAATGTTTGTTTGGGGGCTCGTTCAACAGGATATGGTGCAGGATAAGATGTGTTTGTTAGTTACAAAAGAAGGAGACTTTAGCATAAAAGCTTACGAGGACTGTTATTAAAAGTCTTGCGTAGCAGGCTGCTGTCTGTTATCAAGTCTAACTGACATTATGCTAAATACAGTTGGAAATTAAACAATTTGATTGACTGTATGACAAGTTCTCCAAATTCAGTCTGGTTAATGCAGACCTGGAGGACTTATTTCATTATCATGAAAACAACAGCAATAAAATATTTTCTTTTAGTGAAAAGCCTAACCCTAGGTTTAGTGATCCCTTACCTTAATCTAGTCCCATCAGCCTCAGCTGTATTTAGTGTAGTTAGCAAATGTTAGCATGCTAATACACTGAACTAAGATGGTGAACAGGATACATATTATAAGTGCTAAACTGCATTGGGAGCATATTAGCATACGGTTTCTCAAATGAGAAAACTGCAAAGGAGACAAAAAAGTAAATTTCAGCTGGACAATGTTTGACTCGAGTTCGATCCGTATTGTGCAGAAATTGACACTTTTCTTCTATTAAAGACTTTTTTTAAACAATCTGAATAATACTGAACAAACAAAGGCAGTAAATTAAAGTCACTCGTGTCATTGTTCCTACTGACCATGACTGGCTTTGGCAGAGCGTCCTCTACACAAACACTGCTGAGCGGCTGGCCGAACAGGCAGCCGTGCGCCGCACTGGCGAGGGATAATTCATTCAGGTGAGAGGAGGAGCCTCGCCAGAAGGCCCAGGTGATGAGGGAACGCCTCCTTTTAAATGGCTTCTGAGACAACTCTGGAAAGACAACACAGTATCACAGCATGCATCAGCATAAACTCTCAATCTTCTATTTTTATATTCATTTTTTAAAAATAAACATCAGCAAATGATCTCACCTGCAGATACATGTAGTGTTTCAACGGGTCGAGGCTTCATGATGAACTGGCACTGCTTGTATACCTGCAGCTGCTCCACCTGCATGGCCCTCTGTCTGTCCGCAGGAGGTGCAGCAGCATCCGTGCAGACGCCGCCGCCGCCGCCTCCATGAGACATGGTGAGCCTCACATGACTCATCTGGATACTAAAGGGAAACTCATGACCTGAGACGGAGGAGAAGAGGCAGCATCACTCCCTGGAGGCTTAATATAGTTGCTATAGAACATCAACAGCACCATAACATCGCAGTGTTAGTCAGCACGCACTCGGTGACCCTTCGTTTCCTCCCTGCAGGGGCGACATCACACTCTTCTCTGGGAATGAATGGTGCTAGTGTGTCTAAAAAACATCTCACCCCTGTGTCAAGACTCAGTGCTTCTCAAACTTTTTCTGTCATGCCCCCCATTCAGAACCTGAAAGAGAACCCACACTATCAAACTTGTGGATAGTGGAACTTTCACTGACCAATTAGAGGATAAGGGGTGTTGTCCCTCTTGGAGATGACCCACAGCTGGAAGTCTTTCACATTTCCCTGAGGCAAAGCAGAGACAAAGATTGTCAGAAAAACAAGATACTTAACTCTACAAGGCCGCAGAGAAACTTAATAAAGGCATCTTGCTCTCCGGAGAAATACATTTTAAGAAGCGGATATGCGACAAAGTATTTTCTTTCAGTTTTCACATGCTGTGTGTTTACATCACAAGTAACATGCACAACTACAACAAAAACATCAATATTTAGTCCAAGCCTAAAAAAGACAGGCTCAATATACTGGCAAATTAATTAGTATTCACTGTCATGACAAACAGGCAGACTTAACACATATTACACATTATGAAAGCAAGTGGGACAGGTTTTTTTCTTCACTCACTATGATGCCAAACTGCTGCAGGGCCAGCCGGACCACCTCATTGGTTGAATCGGAGTTGCTGACAGGCAGCGTTTTGGTCTAATCAGGGGGAGAAGGCAGCAGTCACACACAGGACACAGGGACATACAGTATATGGTAAAGGATCATCACATACTCCAAGACAAGAAGTATCACTAGAAATAATGTCAAGGATTTCATGCACTTCATAATGTCACACCCGTCAAAGCAGATGCAGGTTGCTCAAACATCAAAGTTAACTTACAACCGCGAAAGTATTGATTCCCTTCCCGTACACTCTCAGAGGAATGGTTTTAGGTTCTTCCCTCTCTTTCTCTTCTTTTATCCGACTGGAGAGAAAAGAGGAAAACACGCCACGTGAGATTTGTCCTCTCTTTTCTCTCTGTGCAACGTGCGGACACGTTTTCTGTTGATGCACGAAGGCGGAGTTTTACCTTTTGAGGAGGGAGAGCCATCTTTCTTTCTGTTCTGCAGAGCTGAAGGGGGAACACGGAGAAGAACATCAAACATCACCGCAGTCTGTGTGTCTGTCGTAATACTAACTATTTTCTCAGATCGATAATAACATATTATTCTTGTCGTATGCTTGGATATCATTCAGTTTGACTCTAAACTGGCTCTCCATAAAAGTGCATCCTGTCTGCTTTCTGTTCATCTGACATATAAGGTCAAGTTTACAGCATCACCCAAGATATTTACGACTGAAACATAAACATATTTCCCAGCCTCTGACGTGACGCAGAGTGAACATGAACCTGAACTATGTTTGCGTGACATGTTTGAGTTTGAGGACCTTCTGATCATTGCGGCATAAAACAAACACAAAAAAAAAAGGCATTATACTCATCAGATAGGCTTGAAATGTTTGTGGAGAACATCTGCGTTTTACACTTAGCACATTCCAAAGTGTGTCAATATTTGTGTGTTTCTGCGTCCTTGTGTGTGCAAATTTACAGTAACATAAACGATGACAACACCGGACTGGTTTAAAGCAGTAACGTGTGTGTTACCTAAACGTAGCGACACAGTTGCAGGTGGGCCAGCCCATGACGAAGCTTCTCTCTGGGTTCGTGCTTCCCTCGCACACCTCATCCATGCAGCCTGCCGTCCACATCTCCCGAACACACACTTGGGCCTTCTGCTTGAAGTGGTTAGCTGATCTGGGAACGACATGAGCACCGGTGTGAACACGCGCACACACACACACACACTAATTTTAACCTTAGACCTGGGTATTAACCTAATTCACGGGTGAATGAGATGAGGAGCAGCCAAAATGTTCCTGACACACACTTGTGCTTACTTGGCTTTGGCAATCACCAGTATGTCGTTGAACAGAAAGAGGTGTCTGTCCTGAGTCTGCATCCCTGTCTTCAACTGAGCGTGTCCGTGCAGAAGAAACGACCTATTAGAGCCGGTGAGGAAGGACTGGACCAATGGGCAGGTCTCTGGGCACACAGGAACCAGGAAGCTCTCTCTGGAATACAAAAACATGGAGCCAAATTTATTTTACAGTTTAAAATATCCAACGACCAAACTGATCTTTCTTGACACACATATTGCATATTTAGACATCAATTTAATACTGTTAAAATGAGACATCTGAGAATCTCCGACCACGTGTCCATTCCCATAAAGCCCTGTGCTTCTGTTATGTTCTTTCAAAGGTTTTCTCTTTGGCTTTATTGAAACATTAGATATGATTTCTGCATCAAACCTTCCCTGTAAAACTGTTTACACCAGAGGAAGGGAAGCATCTTCAGGAGATTATCCACCAAATCATTGCTGTGAAGGAAGGTAACAGAGACAAACAGTCTTTTCAGCAATTATCTCAACTGATTATTATAATTGTAAAAATGTCTAATAAACTTTCGAACTTTAGTAACATGATTCTTATTAAGATACTCAGCATTTTAAATGACCGAACCTTCCTCCTACACCAGATGTTTTAGCCAAACAATTACACTGGCCAGAGTATAAAATATGATGGGACAATATGGCTTAGAATCACGTTATTTTCAGTACTTCCCAGCAATATATAACAACAATTCCTAATAATATAACTAATTAAATTAATGCGTTCTGACTTGACTTGAAGACGAGACCTACAGATACCCTGACTTCACTTTTTTTTTTTTTAATCATTTATATGGTTAGAATTCCTGCATGGTAATGCTGAGCAGCTGCTTCCTCATTGGGGCAAACCTTTGTATCTTATAAGGAGATATTTGGATGTTTACAGTTTTAGTTTATCAGGAGACATGTTTGGTGGTGAGGTCCCAGTTTAAATACAAAGATTTAGTAAGACCCTGTTGCTTTTGATCGTGTGGTGCCTCTCTTATTATTAGATTATTCACTTCAGATCTCCGTCTCTTTCCTCCTCTCTGGCATCCTTCATCACCAAATTAAAAAAAGCTTGGAAATACTGATGTGTACGTTTGTACATTGAGTTTGCATGACAAATTTTGACTTGTGTTTGGGATTCAATGGAGATTCAGAAGAGATCAAAGGACTCCTGCACTCTTCATCATGTAAATTGTGTTATGTCATTTTAAGTCATATTAGGTTTAGGGTTGAGTGCAGTATGGGGTCAGGGAATCTGCAGGTTTCAGAAAGTCAAATCCAAATTTACAGCAAAAAAAAGAGGACTCACATCTTTCAACTGACGCTTTTCCCAGGCCACATCCGAATAGGGATCTTTTCCAAATTGTTAATAAATATGATGTAAGACAAAGGGCTGGTGTTACTGAATGCAAGTTTATTGTTTAAAAATCAGTAATTGCTTTATTGTTTTATTCCCTAGATCAGTTAACCATTAAACAAATACTTGGACATTTTGGTAAAGTGGGCCAAAATCAAAATGAATGTTTAATATGCTAAAACAATGAAGGTGTAAGCAAGTCTGTTTTCGTTTGATTAACTTTTGTTATATCGTATTAACCATATCCACACTTGGAGTGAGAGTTATGCAGTAGCAGTCCGTGTTTGACAGCAGGGGCTGTAGTTGTTGTTCAGTGAGGTGCCCCCACCCTCTGTGGGAGCTTTTTAATGAGGTTATTTCTTATTCATATTCTCAGTCCATATGTTCAAAGGCAGAGCTATTAATAGATGCCTGATCCTCTGATAAGTCTGGTTACAGGAGGATTATCCATCCGAGTGGATCCAACACCTCACTGTGCCCGGGGCATGTGTGTGTGGTTTCAGAGTTTTGTCAGAGTGGCCTGACCTCAGTGACTCTGGTATGGATGTATGGATAACTGACCTACTCAGCCTGCTGGTACCTGTGGTGACACTTAACTCAACTATCACCTGCAGGTAGACTTACAACATGAACACAACTGGGGTGTCTTAAAGCTGAAGAACTAGTGAGAGGAAGCAAGATTTTGAAAGTATCCAACTAAAAAAAAATATATATATATATACACCCCCTCCCTTCATGCCCTCCTCCAAAGCCACTCCATCCTACAAAGGTGCTGGAAGGATTGTAAAGTTTTTTATATTTCTGCATAATATTAAAAGTAGATCAAGAGAACCGAATTAAACAAATGAGAAAATAACAATATACTTGGTCATTTATTCATTGAGGAAAATGATCCAACACTGCATATCTGTGAGTGGCAAAAGTATGTGAACCTTTCCTTTCAGGATCTGGTGTGACTCCTCCGTGCAGCAATAACTGCAACTAAATGTTTCCGGTAAGTGTTGATCAGTCCTGCAATTGGACGTGGAGGAATCTTAGCACATTCCTCTTTATAGAACAGCATCAACTCTTGGATGTTGGTTTTCTCACATGAACTGCTCACTTCAAGTCCAACTTCCACAACATTTAGATCGGACTGAGGTCAGGACTTTGACTTGGTCATTCCAAAACATTCACTTTATTCTTCTTTAACTGTTCTTTGGCCGAAGGACTTGTGTGCCTAGGTTCATTCTCTTGTTGCATGAACCACATTCTCTTGAGATTCAGTTCACGGACCAATGTCCGGACATTTTTCTCTAAAATTCGCTGGTATAATTCAGAATTCATTGTTCCATCAATGATGGCAAGCCGTCCTGGCTCATATGCAGCAAAGCAGGCCCAGATCATGATACTACCACCACGTTTCACAGATGGAATAAGGTTCCTATAGTGGAATGTTTTCCAAAAAGTTCTACTTTGGCATCATTAGTCCAGAAAAAATGCATCCAGTGCGCTGTGGCTTGTCCACATTATCATGAGCAAACTGCAGATGGGCAGCAATGTTCCTTTTGTAAAGGAGTGGCTTTCTCCTTAGAAACCTGCCATGCACACCACTGTTGTTCAGCTCCTGATGGTGGACTCGTGAACATTGACATTAGCCAATGTGAGAGAGGCCTTTAGTTTCTGAGAAGTAACCCTGGGTTCCTTTGTGACCTTGCGGACTTGCTCTTGGAGTGATCTTTGTTGGTCGACCACTCCTATAGAGGGGAGCAATTGGTACAAAGTCTGCCTGACTGTGTATTACTGTATTATAACCTTTTCCAGTCTGATGAGCATCAACAACTCTTTTTTTGAGATCCTCAGAAAGAGTAAAATAGACCTATAACTGAACTCTTAGAGCAATAACTGTTAATGGACATTGCTTATTTAATTTGCCTGCATTAATTTAACTGTGTAAACTTTGTGTCTTATTCTTTTTCATTACTACTTAGTTAATATCCCCACATTACAATGTAGTCAAGATCACAGTTATCATTAGTCAAGATAACTGTATTATCTTTACACAACGCCACTGTGTTACTATTTAGTCAAGACCGCTTAGAGTTAGCAGCAGACATTTGCATGGCAGCATTTATTTGGTAAATCTAGCCTTGAGTCTCTAAATATATTTTACAGTACCTGGAGAGAGTCTTGGACCTGGTGAGAGCCTTGGTGAGGACCAGAGACGGGGCGGACTGGCGGCGATAACTCTGAGACTTCATGCGCTTAAAGAGACAAAGAGAGACAATCCAATTTTTTGGTGTGACGCTGCATTATTAAAACACGTAAAACATGTATGTATCCAGGGTGTAACGAAAAAGTTGTATGAACTCATTTCACCTTTTGTTGGTACGAAATAAGACCAATATTCATACGACACTAGACATTTCTGAAAATTATTATTTTGTGAGTAGTATTTAGCTCTACATCACATCTCATAGTTAAAACAGGTTACTTTACAAGAGCATTTCACTAAGCCTTCAATGCATGACAATTTGGATTTTAAACCAAAAAAAATAAAGAATGCATTTAACATCTGAATTGATCTTTAAAAACAGTTGTTATAACCGCTCTCATCTTTTCTGTTAGTAATAATACACAATACAATAATAATAACACATAAAACTGTAATTCCTGTAAGAAACCATTCACTTCTATCTACATCACATTTGACCACACTGCCCTGCACTAAAACTTGAAAAGCTGAAATCCCACAAAGAGAGGTGGACAGAATATACGCCATGCTTATGTCATGTTTACACTTCGTTACATAAGCATCCTGATGTTCAACACGTTCATCGCATCACTGGGATGTGATGGCCTCCAAAAGAAAAGACACAGCAGACTGAAACAGGAGAATTTAAACACAGAAGAATGTTGGAGCATAAAGATTAGCCAGGTGAGAACATTTTACAGTCTGTATTACCTTCAGTACTCTGTCTCTACCATGACACTCCTGACCTCTCTCACACTTCTACTACTCAGAAAAAGTGAGCTGGAAATTTGTTGCATGTTTGTGGTGCTCACATATTCATATCTCCATAATGTTTTTTTTTTCCCCCAATAAAAAATCTTGGGCAAGTCTTTTAAGTTGAATTTAAATAAGACGAGACAAAAGTATGGCACTTCCAAGCTGAATTAATCCGCTGCTCCCACTGTACCACACCTCGCCAGCTGCTGCTTGCAGCCATAATGAGATCCCATTTTTCTCTGCTGGATCCTATTATCCTAGTTTCCCCACAAGGATCATTAAAGTTTTATTTAATCTAATTGCAAAAGAATCTGAGTGTGAAGCAGCGTGACAAACAACTATTACGTAACCACATTTCTTTCATTAGGAGTGAGATTTACACACTTGTATTCTTTAAATAAATATTACTGGAATTTTTGTTATGTTTTGTTATTATTTTTGTTGTTTTTGAAGTTTTATGATTGAACTCTACGCAGAATTAAGTTTTAATTCTGCAGATCTTTATAATCCAGACTGTAGAAGTCTAATGTGAATAAGCTTCTTCTTATTTTCTGTTAAACCCTTTATAACTTTGTTAAGAACAGTGCTATATAAATAAAGTTTTATTAGTTATTATATTATTTGCGCATGTCATAATGTTAACATGCTCAAATGCTAATGCTAATAAAGTATAATGATTTTACCATGTTCCCTATCATCATTTGCTAACATATGCTAACTGGCACTAAATACAAAAAGGGGAGGGTCTCGATGGACCACTACGACATTGCGAGGCCAGGGTCACGTGATCAAGGGAGACAATCAAAGGCGTCAGCAGCTAGTTTGTGGCCTTGTTGTGTTGTCAACTTGCACTGTAGAAGAAAGTAAACAGTGAAGAAGAAAATAAAATATGTCTAAAATACGACATTGTAAATAATCATGCCTTCTAGTTTCAGATTTTGAAAACGACTGAAGGATCACCTCAATCATTTTCTAGGACTCACATTTGTTTTACCGAAGACTTTTTTCTCCAGCTGGGTCTGTCGCTCAGCAAAAGACCTAAACCACCACTCTGTTCAGAATGTCTCGATAAATATCAGGTAATGACGATGACACACCTCAGTAACATTGTAATTGTTGGACAGTAACCGTCGTTTTCAATAATCAGTTCATCCTGAAATGTGTCTACTGTGCAATTATTTCTACAAAACAACACGGTCAAACCAACTGCCAGGGTGGTCTGTTACATAATATTATAAAACAGTGGTCAGCCAGCAGTAAACATGCCTACCAGCTCAGCAGCCCCAGTGGGTCTGTTGACCCTCACCTTGCAGCGATACGTCGACTCTCCCAAATAGACTAAATAAGCAACTACATTAATTTTTCTCTAGATAAAACTCAGGGGTTCACTAAAGTTATTACGAATTTCTGTACCAAATTTCATGGCACTCCATGCAATACTTGTTGACATATTTCATTCTGGACCAAAGTAGGGGACCAACAACCGACGTCACAGTCACCAATCTATCTGAAGGCCTTCCGGTCCAAAGTAAACCATCAAGCTCTTCACTACGAAAAGATCAGTCCCCCTCCATCTTACAACCACTATGCACGTTCACGCATTTTTGACATTTCACAATGTCATATCACCGAGTTAACAGGGTCACATATTGGTGAAACATTCCTTACACGCCAGCCACAACATGACAATGTTGCCTTTCACTCCTACAAATAAACTAACAGAAGCTGACATGGAGATATGGGTTTTAAAACAATTCCACTGGCCAGCATCAGCCCAGCTATTATATTATAAACTGTATTATAACACAAAGCAGTTTAAGAGGAAGTTCATTCATAGTGTTTCCACACCATCATACTGCCAGCAGGTGCCAGCGTCACTGGATACAACTACTGTATTTACTCATAGAGTGAAAAGTTGCCATAGTACAGCAGGGATCAATGGCACAATGGTGATATACTGTATTTCTGTGTCTTGTTAAATCAGAAAATGCAGATGAGAAGCTGGCGGCGATGTGGTTTCAAGCTCAATTAAAACAAGCAAGCAGCACATAAGTAGTCTACAGTTATTGTTATACGAAAACTATTAATTTACAAATATAATAATACAAAAATAAATCTGTATACCACATAAATGTATTTTATTAATACTAAACACGTTGGTAATTAACAAATCCCTTGTTGAAAGCTGATTGATTGTTCAGGGGCTGCAGAATGATGGATTTTGAGCAGGAGTCAAAGTGTTTAGGTTCACCAGGGCTAATACAAAATAACACCTAACTACAGCAGAAACTAGGGTAGTTAATTTGTTGTAAAATTTGTTCACAAGTAACAGAAAATTTTATGATTAAATAAATAATTCGGTTGGTAAAATTGTATTTCTACCACCCAAAAGCAGTACAAGTCATTCAGTAAATGGGTATAACATGCTATAATTCTTATATTATATTTAGTATGATAACTATAACTCCTATGAGACAAAATTTATCTGTAGATACTTTAAATACACCGGTAATATTTGTAATCTCTTACTGTGTCATGGTCTCTTTCATGGCGCTGCACCACAATAATATCCCTACTGTTTGATTGCCTGTGGTATTTCTACACCATCATCAGCAGTTTCATGGACCACTTCGTTTGTTTGCCTGTCTTTATGGAGGCGGGGTGTCACTTGGGTAGAAGCCTTGAACTCTGAACTAACCTCTCACCCAACTGGACCTGACTTACAATACACTCATTCATATGTTTGTTACCTCCGAGGAAAACATGGACGTTTTTCTCATTTCATCCGGTAAATAAGCACAAAGATAATTAAGTGAAGAATAATAAAATCTTCCATTTTACAAACTGAATATTCTGGTGCCAAACTGCTCCTCCTTTACGCAGCCGTGGGTTAAAGTTAATTAAACCAAAATAAAAGTACACGCCAACCTCTTTCCCCGTTGCAATTAAAAACAGAACAACAGTATATATTAAGCTTAAACAATGGGAACAATATAGACTTTTAAAACAGATACCCGTTTGTTTTCCTGCTGTCCGCCGCCTCGGCTGAGGCTTTCCTGTTGCTGTTGTGGAGACATGTTGTCCATCCAGCCTCCAGACGCCCCACGGCTCACTCACTGTCCAACTGTCCTCAGGTGATGCAGCGTGGAGAGAAATCCCATTAACAACCTCCGCCTCCGGAAGAAAGAAACCATCTCAACACAAGCGTCACATGAAGTCACTCAAAAGTTATAGTCGGCGACCAGGGCGTGTGGGACAAGCGTGATATGCTACACGAAGAGGGGGGGTCAGATTGATTAAAAAAAAAAAAAAAAGACTTTAAAAACAAAACAAGCTCAGCTGATCCCACAGCTCTCCCTTTCTCTCCTCACTATCAATGAAAGTCTGTGCTACGACCAAAAGCACCTCCTGTCTGGATTATCTGTTGCTGTGCCACTTCTTAATGCGTCTTTGCGCGCAGAACGGAGGCGGCGCCAATATGCTGCAAGAAATAGGTCTACCTAATTTAAACCACATTGCTCCATTCATTCATCAGATTTGCTAAGATTATTGGTGAGAATAGTTGTTTGCTTTGGGGTTTAGAGCTTGTATCAACAGATGCCCGGGAATCCAGCGAATGAACAATTCTAGTTTGATTACTGACACCAAACTGCGTTAGAAAAAAGTATAACTGTCAATCAACATGTTATGTGCTGAAACAGATCAGTAAGCAAAGCACTGTTCACAGAAACAAGATAATTCTACCTAGATAACTGTGACTTAGACAAATATGTCTCAGTAGTTTATTAAACCAAGCGACAGTTATCTCATTATCTAATGTGTAAAAGTGTAAAATACTGACCTCTATATCATTAATTACGGTTTGTATGTGCTAATATGTCGTCCTCCCCTACATTCCTCTGCCAGATTCTGGTTTTGAAGCAAAAAACAAGCCACACTTAACATAACATTCATGTAGTGTTATAGCTATGTACTTAAACACAACTTCAACATATTATTTTAATATCAAATAAATAGTCTATGGCACAATTTATTTTGCCATCTGTTAAAAGCAAAAACAGATATAATCTGACATCACTTCACCATTTACCATCAGTTCAACATCTCTGCAGTCTAACTGAGCCCAATCATTAGTAACGTCACTAATTACGACAACATACTGTACATTTCTGACTTATGGCAACAAAATTAATAAATATTTGCACATGCAACATTTTTCCTTATTTGGTTTTAAACCTAGCAGTGGTTCCCAACCTTTTTAGCCTTAATCAAAGACTTCTTGTGACCCCTCATCACAGATTGTGGAGCAGCTGAACCAACAAAGGCTACTTGTTTCTCAGCTCTCTTTATTTCAAGGCTTTTTAGGGGGCTGAAGAGGGGAAACTTAGGTATTTTTTACTAGGAATGAAGCATAAATGTGAGAAAAGTAAGACAAAGTACAACATTTTACAATATTTTTCTTTCCTCTGGACCCCTCAGATTTCTCCTGAGACCCTTTGGGGGATCCCGACTCACAGTTTGGGACCCACTGTTATAAAGTTAAAAAGGTTTAGGTAAAAGGAAGGATTTACTACAGTACTTTCCTGATATACTAAGCTTCAATTAGGTGAGGAGGACTAAATGGTTGATTTTGAAATTTTTTATGCACAGCTCTGGAGTCTGTAGGAGCCCAAACAATGTCAGAAGCACAAGGGTTAAAATCAAACTCAAAGGAATCCTAGCAACATTTTTAAACTAAAATAGAGTTATTTAGATCCAATAGACAGACGTTATCAGATTATGGGTTAACAGCACGGGCCTGATGCTCACTCTCAGTACAGTAGCTCCAGGCTCTCCATCAGTCTGAAGCCACATTATTAGATTCCAGTGTCTCTGGGAAACAGTCATGAATAGTACTAGCTGGAATCTAGGCCATAAAGGTTGTAATGTAGGGCATGTTCGAACCTTAAATGATTGTTCTTCAATTAACTTTACAAAAAGACACAATCTTTGATCTGTAAAGCAGGTATTAATCTTCCAAATCTGTAATAAAATGATTTTAAATACATTGAATAATGAGATTCATTTAGCTTTATGCATAATGGTGACATGTAAACGCCTGACTGTATGGAGGGAGGATATCTAGACAGACATTTCTTAAAGGAAGCCGGTAAATCTGGCACATTTTCTATTGCCCCAAAATCAATTGCCCTTCTAGAAACAGAAGTGGGCCACAAACTGGGCTAAAGAAGAAGGCCAGAAAGTGAAGAATAGAGACTCAGAGAATTCATTCCCCAAATTTGGCCACAATCAGCCCCGTTAAAACTGGATCACTGCAATGATTACCATCCCTCGTGTTGATAATGAACAGCCTTGGGCATGGCACAGAAAAGCAACGCTCCCCTCCTCACACACACTTTTTCCACCCTTCAAAGAGGTAGTCCAACTGTTGGAGACGAAAGTAATCCTTCACTTGTCACGTACATCGTCACACCAAGAGCCCAGTGAGTTGAACAGAAGTGCCTACTGATTAAATTAAACAAAAGTGGTGACAATGGGGAATCAATAACCTTTACGAACTTCAGCTACCTCAATTTCCATCTCATGTTTGCTAAATAAAAAATAATAATGAAAATAATCATGTTTAAATAAAAAATAATCATGTTTGCTAAATGAAAAATAAACGGTAAAATCATCAATAATGTTACAACAGAACAAAAGTTAAAAGGCAGAGCACTGTGGTTTTATAAATCATCTTTATTTACTGTAGATACAACATTGAAAACCTATGTGGAATCACACATTGGTCAAATTGAATTGATGTGGGCAGAGAACTATGTTGTATATACGTCATCTAACTTAAGCGTGGATCCTTCTTCGTTAGTAACCACTCGTATTTTTGACCAACGGAGATGAACAGCAGTGGAAATGCAATGTTTGTCGAAAAAATGCAAAACAGCTACTATTTATAAGTTCGTAGGCAGAAAAATCTCTATTTTGCTGTGATTTCTTGCATCAAAAATGTAAACGAACAAGTGATTATCCTTGACTTTTCCAAGGCAGCTGAAACTATGTTCAAGCAAAGTCGTAGCTGACATACAGAGCCAAAGTTGATATTGTGTGCACACAAATATTAAAAAATACCTTTGTTCGATTCTCTCTTTATATCATGTAGATTACCTAAAGGTTTGTGTGAAAGTGATATGTACCTCCTTAAGAGATTTAATTTAAGTAAAATTATGAAGGGAAACCCCCTCCTATGTACTTATTCATGGACACGGTCAATTACACTCCACGAAAAAGATAACTTCAAACTTGTATCTTTTTTTTTGTTTAAGAAGCGACAGTGCCGAAAACCCTGTGTGATTTATTGGACCTGTTTATGTGTCAGTATAAAACTGATTTCATCCTAGTCCTGCTGTTCTCGCTTTGCATATATATATATACACACACACAGAGTCACAAGCTCCATACCACATATGGAACATTATTTGCAAACATACTGAACACTAAGCCATTTAAATTAAAACCTAGACTCCTAAATGTACTGTGATGTGTTGGGTTGGTAATCTGTCTAAAAGCCAAAAACCTTAACAGATAACAGTGATGTTGTCTTTTTTTTTTTTATTATTCATTGCCTGCAGTCTGGAAGACAAATTGCTCCTTGAGGACATTCAATTTTGACTTGATGCAAATGCATTGAAAATCTCTCTCATTAAAAGTATTTATGTCTCTAACATATACATTAAGTGTGTGTGTGTGTGTTGGGATTTACCTATTCCTTCACTGGACGCCGAACACAGACTGGACCTATAAGAGATGACAAAGAAGACAATTTAAGACGAATAGAGGCTGAGTGTCATTTTTATAAACTATGTGTTATTTTATGTAGCCTCTGAAATATGTTTGTATAACATAAACAAACTAAATGGCAGGTAAAAAACTTCTGCAGTAACAATTAAACCCCAAACAGGCCCATCGGACGACACATCTTTCACTCTTCATTTTATCTAAATACCTCTCAGCTGGCAAATCACCTGTCTGACTTTGTAAAACCAATGGACTATTGAGTCTTATAGCAAAACCTTTGCATCTGACACCAAACAGATTTCTAGAGTTTAGTGGAGCAACTTAAACACAAGACAACATATGATCTTATTCAATATAATGTAGGCAAATGTATGATTTCCAAGTGCAGGGATGAACCTAGAAAATGTCTCAAAAGCTGCTCTTCTTTACAACCTGCATGATCAACTTGTCTTGTGTTAAGATTTGGTGAGTACAGTTGCTTATTTCATATTGTTATATAGTATAACACACTTAAGTCCCACTTGCTCTTCTATGTCCAATATCCCAAAAATGTTGCTTTCCTAAAGTGACACCCTCTAAACTTCCTAAAAGATCACAACCACTTCCTCCTAGATGTCATCTCTCTCTCTGATAAAACCTGTCATCTCACATGTGCTGCAAACGCTCTCAACTCTTCAGTCAGATCATCTACTACAATGTTCACCCTTATTACCAAATATGATTACTTTTACATGTCACACACACACACACACACAGCTGTTTTACCATTAGAAAGGCAGCATAAGGTTTGACTTCACAGTAATGTCAGTGCCCTGTTGAACTACTTCACAAAGTCAGCTCCACAGTAATTGTGGTAAACTTATCTTCATCACTAATATATGACTGATACAATATTTGTCACATTACTTGATACAATAGAAGGGCAGACTATACAAAAAAATATGCTGAAGGCCTGTGTGTGTGTCTGTGTGACTGTGTCTGTGTGTGTGTGTGTGTGTCTCTCTGTGTTTTACAACGCAAAGACACAAGAGGATAAAAACGAAACGTATTTACCTTTTATAAAACTATTCTTTAGATTCCCTGACACCTGGTCAGGATATATCACATTTCCCAGATCCAGTGAAATGAAGAGCTTGTATGGTCACACAGAGAGCCAGGACCACGTTGATTTTTTGTTGTAACATGCACAGAGGTTTGATTATGCACACACACACACACACACACACTCACCCTCATTGCAAAGATATCTACAGACTCACACAAACACTATGGAAATAATTTATTGTCTTCTTAAAGATTAGCAAAAAGGTAAGCATCACCAGAAAACACTGAGATCGTTTTAAAAATGTAAAACACAAGGCCTAAACAACAGTGTAAAGTCAATTCTCTTCAGTACAATGTTTTGAGAGTATTCCTACAATGACCACCTCATTAGAAAATGAGACCAATTTGCCATATAAAGGAGCATCCACATTGACTTATACAACAATGGTGGCATTTGACTTGTGCGTCATATAGTTGGTACGTACATTGTCATCTGCATTATTTTCCAGATAGATCAAACATACACACAAATACACCTGATGGAGCTGCAAACTCTACCGACCAACCTTCAAAACCCAGCCACACCCAACGCATCCTTCAGAAGACGGGCATTCACACTGCGTAAACCTCGTTGCTGTGTTACAGAGAAATCATCTCTGTGTGAACTGGAACACATTTTGGTATAAATGGCCTGGGAATTATGTCCATGTTGGATGATTTCACAAGAACATCACAATTTATGTTTAATTTTACTTCATCGTCTTGCAGTATAAACACATTGTTATAAGGGTCTGAAAATGATCCCAACCCTAATCCTGTCTCCTCTGACTGAAAGGACAAGTGTGTAAGCTTTAGTGGCATCTTGTGGTGAGGCTGCAAATTGCAACCATAACGCTTGCCTCGAGAATCGAGACAAGAATCTCACGAAAAAATGACAAGCGTCACGGCAAAATCCGTGGAAGGGCTCATACTAAGGTAATGAAAACAGGTGATAATACACTAATGAAAACATACTTATGAATATTATATTCTATTTCTGACTATTCATCCCCCTAAATCTTACACACCTCCTTTAAGGATTTGTTAGGGGAATTATTTAAAATTCTCCCAAGATAATTATACTCTCATAAAAATGTCAACTGTTGTTCCATGACTACAATTTAAGAGGTGAACTATGAAAGTGATGCTTAGACATTTTGTGGAGAAAAGGCTGTACTGAAAATAGCAAATACCCAATAGTAAAATGAGAGGCTGAGAAGCTTGAAAATGAAGATATATTTTCTTCTTTACCATTTGATGGAGGAATTATTTGATAGTAAATCTAACTTCGCTATGTGTTAAGCTGCGATTCAGCTGAACCCAGAAATGTTTAGAGAGAGAAGTCATGTTGCAAGCTTTCTATTTCAGATTAAGTTATTTAGCAGGATTTGGTTAATTTACTATCCAGTTTGAGAAAATTACACAATTCTTTAAAATCACAAATAGACAACTTCCTAAAAATGTTTTATTTCTCTTAACCATCAAATACAGAAAGTGGAGAAACATTTGAAAGTATCCAACCCAAAAAAAGCTTTAATAAAAAGGTGATTTACTATCAGGAACATATTTTTTATACTGGTGTTACACTATTTTTCACTTTGAGAGGTCAGCCATCCTGTTTTGACTTAAATCCATGTCCAATCCAATTTATCTTATTGAACACTCCCCTGAAGCACCTTAATAGTATCCAAGACCGTAGCCGCCAAAGCAAATGCAAAGATGTCTAACCACAAATGCCTTCCTTGATAACACGCTGTGACACTTTGTTTGCACACTTAATTTTCAGCACACAAGAGGACAAACCAGTTCATTCTGAAACAAAGAGGAGAAACATATGCGGGGGGGGGGGGGGGGGGGGACTGAATAAACACTGCAGATAAGTGCAGATACAAAGCATTATCCTGTAGTTTTAGCAATCACAAGAACAAAAAAATCGGTTAAAAAATATTCAGCAAAGAGTCTCAGGGAGGGAATCGAATCAACGTAAAGCAGAAACGATATTATCGGGCTGGCGCAGTAACGCAGATCCATCAGAACAGCGTCTCTTTGATCAGATAGAAGTCAGCATCTGCGCCGCTTGTTATTCGGCCCGTCAAAGACTCCCCCTACTGGATTCCCCCTGCCAAAACCTGGAGCTGGTCCGCCTTGAGGGCCCAATGGCGGCTGCTGCTGCTGCTGCTGCTGTTGTTGCGGTTGTTGCTGCTGCTGCTGCTGCTGCTTTGGGGACTCAACTTCTGGTCGGCCCCCCATTGATCCACCCTGCGGGTATCTATCGTTTCGCTGTGGTATCGTCAGTGTAACAAAAAAGATGGGGATGGTGTGAAATCGACACGAGTAAGGTACATCCAGAAAAGTGATGGGTCAGTCAGGGTTTAGTTTGATCCAAGTGTTGCCATCCGAAATTAAAGTGGAGAGAGGTGAACCAAGCAAACAAAAGGGAGAGAGAGGAACTATTAGTTCTATTGGTTAAGTCTAAAATTTTAAGATCAATATTCAAGTAGTTATTTGGAAGAAGCCAAATGATTTATTTTTCTTTAAAACAGACAGTTTCAGATTCAATATTAGTTATAGTTTATTCTATTAAAAAAAAATGGCTTTAAATGTTGAAGAGTGGCTAATTGAGAGATCAGCTTTATTTATTTTTCCTGATACGTTACCATGGCTCCATTCTCTGACATCAATGGTGTCCCCATATTTGCAGTTCCCTCTGGGCCAATGGCTCCTCCCCTTCCACTCATGCCCATCATTTGACCCTGGTTACCAGTGGGCCCCGGAGAGGCCTGGTTATAGCCATCTACACGCAAAACAACGGAGCATTGGTTTGACATTTGGTGGGTCAGTGTAATCTACCCTAACGCCCCGCAAGAACTGTGGTAGCTGAATGCCAGAACTAATATCAATGACTTCAAATTAAGAGTTAACGTTGGCTTTTGGTCAACAACTAATATATATCTGTCATTTATACTACTCATTTAAAAAAAACTCAATACATTTATCAGAAGTAAAACCTTTACAGAACAATATAAAACAGGCAACATCCTGTCAGTTCATTTGAATAAATAGAACACAAACACAACCAAAAACCAACGTTAATTTAAAGTCAGCAGGTAGACATTAAGGTGACATTTTACAGATAGAGTATACAGAGACAGCAGGTGTGAAATTAACAGAGGTTCCCACTTTAACACCTAAGTTTTGAGGCTAAGTGCCAACGTCCACATCTTTAGCTAACTAAACCTTGGATTGCACATCACCGCAGTCATGGAGCATACAGAGTTTCAAAAGGCAGTAAGACCTGCACAGACATCACAGGTTCAATCCCAGTCAAACACAAACCCTGACAACAGAATCCACCAGTATCGAAGAGATGTACAAATAAACATCCTGACGTATCGCCACATGATGTCTGATGTAAAATGTTCACAGCACGGACAACTGAGGCAAAAAATATTAAGTTGCTCTCTGGATGGAGAGTTTATGCCGTGTTTACGTCAAATTGTTTACAATGTAATGACGAGCAGCAGAGTTGGAAAAACTTGTACTTCAGAGTCTGCAATATAGGGAATTTCTGACACTGACAATATCTTCTGCTTTGTGAAAAAAACGACAGGCATGACAACAAACTGCTGGCAAAATGGGTGCAAATACACCACCGCTGGCAGTCACGTCAAAATAAAATCCAATATTAAAAATAGTACAATTAACTCAGATAACTTTATAGGAGCTAAATACTTTTATCTTGTTTCATTTGGTAACTAATTTCTACACATACATCAATTTTGGTTGATTATCTAGTGTGCCTACAAGGTTAGTACTAGGACCTCAGAAATAACAGGTAAAAACAGAATAAGGGGTGTTTTTCTATTCTGCCAACATTGCATGAGTAACGCATTACTAAATTAAATTGGAAATATGAACCTACATGAAATCATGAAGGGATCGTTCCATTGTCAGTAGTACCTGCAGTACATCAGTGCGTCCCCAGTTTGGAGAAGCAGAGAGTTGTACCAGCACTAAAGTTAAGCTGGAAAAAGTACCTCGCCCAGCCCCACTTCTCAAACTATCCCTTGAAGTTTATAATTTCCTGTAGGTGTATATAGTTCCCAGTAAATGTTGATAACGAGTGCCAGATTTTTATTTTGGAAAAATACGTCCACATTACAGTAGGTTTACATTATTTGGACATGTCCTTATCACAGAGTTTAACCTGCTTCTGCTTCACACTAAAGCACTATGATGCAAGCAATAAGAAAATGTTCCAAATGACTGAAAAGTACTGGTAGCTCTGTAAATAAGAGCTGCACACAAAAACACATTGCAATGTATTTATGATTGACTGACTGAATTAATGATTTTGTCAGCATTCATTTAAAAATGAGAATATTAACATTTCATAACATTTTTTTATGTTGTTTTTATGTGAATTCATACATTATAAACATATTTTTAAAAGCCTAAATACCTTTTTACGCTTGGCTGAATGGGAAAACACGGTGTAACAACTAAAAACACAGTAAAAAGCTCCTGCTCAACTGAAGAGTGTGACTTTTGTAATTAATCTCATTGTCTCATCTTCCTCTGCAACAGTTTAATGGCATCCAATAGGATAACTGGCACCACCTAGCTGTTTATCTTTATGCTCCCAGCTCCTAATATTTGGTGGAAACGTGGATTAATTAGCATTTTCCTTTTCTGATTTTCTGGATATTCAGTTAAAACCTGCGCTGCGTTTGGATGGAAACTTGACTAATGACAATCTCCCAACAATGTATATAAATACTGAAGATGCACACGCCACAGTAAATGCAGACAGAAGAGCCAAGAAAGGCCACTTAAAGCCAAATACTGTCATTATCAACAATAATATCTTACCCTCGTCCCCGATAAAAACAACAACAACAGATGGAACATACTTATGTTTATAGAGATGATGTGCAATCCTGGGTTATAATTTTAGTCTGGTGAAAAGCCACCATGAACCTCAACCGAACTGTCCCAGGTTAAACCTCAGTCCCCGGCCCCTCATCCTGCACTCAGTCAGATCCGCATTTACTTTTTAAAAGACACATTTTTCATTCCTGGTCAAAGTCAACACACATTTGTCTTTACTTCTTGTCTACTATTGTTTCCTGCCATGATTCACTTGAAACTCTAAATGCTAAGTAAGTGGCTGCTCAAAGGCTGCTACAGCTGATAAAATATATATTAATTAATACCATTTCAGTTTATCAGTGGCTTACAAAAAGAAACATGTAGCATATTATTATTATTTTGAATCTGAAGTGAGGATGAGAGCTCAGGGACCTAATATTTCTCAAACTATGTAACTTCACCCAAACAAAAACAACCCCGTTCAGTCCGCTGTATATCCAGTTATTATAGACATTATGTTGTCATGTGATATTTTATGTTTTATCTCCTTTGCATTTCATCCCAAGTGTGTCCGTTTCACAACAAAAAGGTTGTCAAAATCTACTTTTAAGCATTAATTTACACATTCGAAAAATGTAAAAACATCTCGCTGAAAGGAGCCACTTGGGATGCAAGACAAATTACGATGATAAATGACATTAAGGCAGTCATAAATCACTTATCGTCACTTGATCTGCTTTTTGTATCAACCAGTCTTTACACAATCATGCCCGTACCTCCCATATTAATGGCTCCACGAGGGCCCAGCTCACCCACTCTCATTTCCTGTTCTCTCTGGAAGAAGTGAAGAAGAGCCTTCAGAACAAAACCCCGCTAAAGGACAAATCTTCAGCGAAAGCCTACACTACAACAGTCACGCTGTAAAAGTATTAATTTTCTACACAAAACTGATGAGAGCCATGGCTCTTAAAGAATGATAATTACAGTCCTTATCAGCAATTTAAGTTTAGCTTCAATGCTTCCTTGCCTCCATTTAAACGGGCAAGGCAGAAACACTTTCCATCCTCCTGCTGGTCTGCAGATTTACTGCTCACAGACAAGCTTCTTGCAATCACAGCGCAAATTTAGTAATTAAACTTCATCATATCTAATCAGCTGGAAGAGTGCAAGCAAATCTTAAAAAGAAATGAGTCACATAAAAATGGGCTTCAGACTATTGATCCGTTTCTGATGCAGATTCTACGTGCTTAACAGGCAAAATGTCCGCTGATAAAGGAAGACTAGAGTTAATGGTGCTGGACGTAACGTAGCTGCTGAATGACGTCTGTCTGACAACTGTCACCTTAGTTCAAACACAAAAATAGAGATGCTTCGTTATCAGTTCATTCATCCTCTCACACAACAACAACTCTCTCTCTCTGCTTCACACATAATCTTATACAAAGTGAATAACATTCAACATTTATAAGTTTCAATGACCTGGATTGAGTCTGCTTTAGTTTTTAATGAATATAGTCCAACAAAACATTTGGACAAGGCTTAATCCAACTCACTGAAACCAGCTGGCCATCAATGACCAAATAATATTTTTCATTAAAGTTATAAACTCACTATAATGGGCCAATACATTTAATCACAAACGTATACATTTTCATGTTATCACACACAAGTGTTCAAATGCAGCTGTAGGTCACTCAGAAGACTTGCACAACCTCTCCCTTCTACATGTATTTACTCTCCTCATTGTGAGGGTGGAAGACATGGAGATAGATAGGCATTAGTAACCCATGTCCAAGTTTAATTTGGTGTGCAAATACTGTGAAACTTACCTGTTAAATAGTCAATATGTTGCAACTAAAATAATTAAAGCAGTAATGTGAATGTGCTGAGTGTGATGAAACCATTGTTGCACTAACATCTGAGGAAGACGGAGACAAATTTAAGCGCTAGAGGGCAGCAGTTTCTCTTTAACAATAATCCTCCCAGCAAACAAAAAGCACAAGAAACACAAGAAAGAGAAAGTTAGCACTTAAATGTAAAATAGTTACGAGAAACAATTAGAAGTCTCTTATATCCCATTATGTGCTTCAATGAGTTTTCTTGTTATCATCCCGAAACGGACTCCCAATATTTGTAAAACAGACCTCTGGATTAATAAAAATGTATGTTTATCAAGACTCGAACACATTAGAAAAGTGTTTCTATAAATATCAATCCAAACCAACTGTATGACCCAACACACATGTCCCCGCAGTTTAATAAGAAACAATACAAGTTCTCCTACTCAGAATGTAGGTATGAATTGGACAGATGACTGTTTTAAGTGTGTTACATGTATGTAAAGAAGCAGACTCCAACAGGACCTCTGAACGGAGCAAAAGGATGTGAAGAGAAAAGTTATAACACAGATAACATTTCACACTCATGGACACTCATACTGGTAATTAAAAAGGGATTTCTTACAGAATGCTTAGATTACATAATGGCTTTTGTTTGTTATGTTGTTTATCGCTGCAAATATAGCAGCGGCAAAAACGCCCTTTTCTTTTTCTTCCCAACGAGTTTTTTTTTTTTACAAACCTGCTCATTGCTGTTAAAGCAGTGAGTTTAAATGTTTCAGTCATGTGTTACAATGTTTCCTTCTGAAATAAATTATGTGGAGATTTGTTTGTGAATCCCTTTATTTATTTTATTAAAGGGACGTGCAGTTCAAAGAGCAGTCGTAAGTCTGTCAGAATTTAGTTTAAATCATGTGTAAACTAAGCTACTCCTCAGACTGTCAAGTGATGGATGTCAAGAGTTCCCTACGCGCACACGAAGCCTCCACTTAAAAAATTCTCAACCGTCAGGAAACACTTGTATCAGATTGGATAAATCTTGCTGTGACAGAAAAACTACCCCCCATCCACATACATCAAGCTCCACGGATTTAGATAATCTGTTGGGCTGGCTGTTGCATGCTCCTTTCTTTTAAATAGTTTCTAATTAAAAGTAACAGATCAAGCTGGCAATGCAAGAGATATGTACTGTCTGAGTTTTGATTGTAACAGCTCAGAATTATGAATGTTCCTCATGGAAAATAATGACTATATTTCTTCAAACAACTACAATTACTATGTAAAAAGGGGACAGAGTTACATCTTAACTTAAAAAGACAATAATAGAACGGAGATGAAGAAACTGCACAAAAGACTGCAGAGTGCTAAACCTGCTATACCACAATGCATTCAGGCATTGTTCCACAGCTAAAGACTGATTGTTAATTATGAGCATACAGTTGTTTATTGCTTATATTTTTTGTCAGAAGTGTTATGTTAATTTATATCAGTAATATTATATTACTAAAAAAGTGAAACAATATGATACCCGTGGTTAATGTGGGTGTTTATCCTCTCCCATGTGTAAATGTAGTAGTTTGACACAATGAAACACAGGGTTACAGTGATGTGTTAGCATGGCAGCCTGAAGGCAAAACACCACACACACACACACACACACACACACACACACACACAGGAAAGTCATTACAAATAATGAAAAAGATGGTAAATATTGTTTCTATAGATATTTCTGGAAGCTGCTATACAACTATGAGGAAATAACAAATCCCTGCACAGGAACACACATCAGTCGAACTCAACTGCAAGCAATGTAAACAAACCAGAAAACGTAGAAAGGGCTCACTGCGAACCAAGAACTGGCCTCTGGATAAAGTTACAACTTCTTATTATTGATTTAAACATTTTCCAGCAGGTCACTCTTGTTGTACCTAACTGTAATTTTACCCCCCAAGATCTGCCTCATTAAAATACATCTGGCACTTCCACATATTGCTAAATAATCCAGTTGCAGTCTGTTGACCTTAAATAAACAAGGCTGTCCTGACTAAAGACGACACAGTTACCTTTAGAAGATACTGACAGAATATGGGACTGTTTCACTCTATGGTGCACACATTTCTATCTCTGCCTCTTTAAATTCATATATGCAGTTCTGTGTAGTTTTAGACAGGTGTGGAAAATGCTGTAAAAAGTAGGAATGCTTTCAAATATAGACATGTTAATAGATTATATTTATCAATTAAAAGATACATGCAAAGTGACTGAACAGAAGAAAAATCTAAAATCAAATCAATATTTGTATGACCACCCTTTACCTTAAAAACATCATCAGTTCTTCTTGGTACATTTGCGCAAAGTCAGGGTTTTTGTAGGCATATCGTCAGCTGTTGATCCCCAATTCAATATGCAGGTTGAAACACAATCATTAACTGAAACAGAAACAGCTGTGCAGGAAGAACATAACTGTGAGGAACAGCCAAACTCAGCTAACATGGTCATGTCAAACAGCATAACATACAGCAAAAGTCGTTAAAGACCATTTTCAGCACGAAGAAGAACAAGGAGTCCTAGAAGTGATTGTATGGCAACCCACAGAGCCCTGATCTCAACATCGCTGAGGCTATCTGGGATTACGTGAAGACAGAGAAGCAACTGAGGCTGCCTAAATCCACAGAAGAAGAACTGTGGGTAGTTCTCAAAAGATGTTTGGGCCAAGCCACCTGCCGAGGTCCTTCAAAAACTTCGTGCAACTTTACCTAGCTGTTTTGAAGGCAAAGGATGGTCACACCAAATATTGATATATAAATCTATTAACATTTCTATATGCTTAAGATACTACTACTTTAACTTTTGATTTCTATGTAAGAATTAAAAAGAACAGTGTGTGCTAAGCTGTTGCTCAAAGTAGAGAGAAAGGTTGTGTGCATTTGTAGAATTAGCTCAAGAACTTTTAGTACTTCATTTGAGTGTGTACGACACTGTTTACATGTCTCAAAAGTGTAACTGGACAAGCTTCGGTGTATTTGACCGCACATTTCCGTACTGTATTCCAGCTGTACTCACACTGTCCATGTAGTTTGGTTTGAAGCCGTCTGGGTTGCGTCTCAGGTCCTCCTGTTCCCTGTGTCTCATCATCTCCTCCTCTCTCCTCCTCCTCTCCTCTTCATGCCTATAGCCAGAGAGAGTAAAATGTGTCAAATAAAATCAGCTAATACATAGCCTGTTTCACACGAAAACAACAAAACAAAGGAGAGCATACTGCCAAAATCTATCCCACTCACTTCAGAGCGACAACTTCACAATGACAAAAAGGAGCTTAAAAATAACAAGTCCATTTAAACTGTAGGAATAATTGGCACTAAACAAAACATATTAATTGGACTTTTAGCAGTTGCCCTTGATTTTAACCTTCATTGGGTTAAAATCAAGGGCAACTGGATAACTAGGAATGGTCCTAGTAGTTCAAGAAATCAAACACACCTCATCTCTATCTGCTTTCGTCTCTGCAACTCCTGGTTGCGGAGCTCCTCCAGTCTCCTCAGTTCCTCCTGACGTCTCATTAGGTCTGGGAGAAGGGAGGCAACATAAGTAAGACAGACTATTTTGAGGCTCTAAACAAAAAGGCAACGTGCATGACTTACAGCAGTATTTCCTATAATTCAATCATAATTCTTTAATTCTATTAAGCAACACACATTTCACAACATTTATTCACCACAACAGTAGATTTAAACTGGCCTTTTCCTGAAAGCAAGCCATTATTGAGACTTTGTGAATATTCAGTTAAAAACCAAGCCAACAGCCAAAGTAAACATTTAAAAAGAATAGGTAGGTAGATTTTATTGTAACAATAATAAAAAGTAGTAGAGTGAAATTGAGTTTTTTAACTCCCTTCTGCTACATAGCAGACAGTAAACATTAATAAAGATTCAATTATGAAAAATGGTAACAGAAATGATAATGCCTGGAGCAGTGCTGAGGAACTAGGAGTTTAAGAGTCTGATAGCTTGGGGGGGAAAGCTGCTTTGCAGTCTGGTGGTGCGGCAGCAGAAACTTCTATCTCTCTTCCCAGAAGGCAGCAGGGTGAACAGGCTGTGGCTGGGTGGGTTTGCAGTGTTTAAACCCAGAGTGCTGAGTTTGCTGATCACTTTCGTTGGGAAGATTGTATTGAATGCTGAGCTGAAATCCACAAACCGCATTCTGATGTTGTTTCTCTCAAGGTGTGTGAGGGCAGTGGAGATGACATCCTGTTGGTTCTGAAAGAAAACTGGTGAGGGTCCAGGCTGGATGGGATGTTGTTTTTATGTGCTGAAGAACCAGGTTTCTCAAAGCACTTCCATCGGAAAGGGGGTCAGAACCACAGGGCGTTAGTTGTTAAGACTAGACACTGCAGACTTTTTAGGTACAGGAACGATGGGGGCAGTCTTGAAGCAGGTGGGAACCCTTTCCTGAGACAGTGAGATGTTGAAAATGTCAGTAATAAGATCAACTAGCTGATTGGCTAGGAATGTTATCAGGTCCTGCTGATTTACACCAATTCACTCTCAGCAGGACTCTCCTCACATCCGCTGTGGATACTGACAGTGGCCGTTGTTCTGGAGGTGGGGTAGACTAACAGCTGACTCCTTGTTTGTGGGGGCGCTCCTGCTTTTGTAGCCTGGGATGTTTTTGATGGTCTGCCATTTATCCTTGGTGTTGAGGTCTCTCTCCAGTCTCTGCTGATGTCTGCACTTTGCCTCCTTGATGCCAGCTTTCAGTCTCGCTCTGGCGGTGCTGTAAGCTTCTTTATCACCCGACCGAAAAGCAGCTTTTTTGGCTCTGGACAGAGCCCTCACCTCTCCATTCATCCAGGCCTTCTGACTGGGGAATGATTTTATCGTTTTAGTGGTCACCACATCATCAACACATTTACTAATGGATGATGTATATTCCTCAAGGGTGATGTGGCTCTCCTGGGCGGCGGCCTCTCTGAGCATACTCCAATCTGTGCTCCCAAAACAGTCCCATAGAGCTGCTGTAGATTCATCTGTCCACACTTTGACTGTTTTAATTGTTTGCTTGACCCTTTTAAATCGGCTGAAGAAGCAGAGAAATATGGTCTAATAGACCAAAATGGGGACGGGGGAGGGCTTTGTAGCGGCCAGGAATATTTGCAGTGGTAGACGTGGTTCAGCGTGTTTGTTCCTCTGGTGGGGGATGTGGACATGCTGGTGGAATTGAGGTAAAACTGTTCTGAGATTTGTTTGATTAAAATCACCAGCAACAATAAAAACACCATCAGGTTGTTTTGTCATATGACTGCTGATGACTTCATACGGTTCCTGTAGTGCATTTTTTGAATTTGTATCTGGAGGAATGTAAATGGCAACGACAAAAACACTGGAGAAATCTCTGGGCAGACGGTATGGCCGGCATCTCAACATTAAAAATTCCACATCTGGTAAACACTGTCCATCCACTTTAGCTGCATTTGAGCACCAAGCATTATTCATGTAGATACACAGTCCTCCTCCCCTCGTCTTACCGGACTCAGGTGTCCTCTCTGTAATTTAAACTAGGAATCCATAAAGGCATTGATAAGCAGAATAGGAATCGATCAAGTTCAAATGATACCCGACCCTGGTCTTAGTCAATCCATCACACTAGGTGGAGCTCCTGACCATACCTGGCATGAGAATCCTCAGAAATGCAACTAAATGCCAGGGGAGTGTGTCAGGATTGTTTGCAAGTGAAGACAACTCGAGGTTGGTTGAATAAAGGTTTATTATTATCTCCTTTCAGTTACGCTGGAAAGGTTTTTTGTTTGTACTATAGAAAAGCAACATTTGAAATCAGTGCGATTACTTTAAGTATATAATGAAGGCACAAAACGGCCTGGGAATGTACAAAACATACATTAAGAGTTAATGTTGACCTACAGATTATATCAAGCACTATGTACCACAGGCAGCTACAATGAAATAATAATTGTCAATCATTCAATCAATCAATCATTGTTCACAATACACATTAAGAGGTTAGTATTAAAACAGCAACCTAAAAGGAAGACACTAAATGCTGCAGCCCCTACCTTGTCTCATTAACATGAGTTGATGTTCATGTTTGGCCGACTCCAGCTCAGCCTCCAGTTTCTCTTTGGCTTCTTTAATGTTCTTGTCCACCTGCTCTCTTTGCTGTTTCTCCATCTCATGAAGAGCTTTCCAACGAGACGAGTATTCAAACTCAAATGTCCCCGGCTGAGCAAAGTGTGGCTGCTGCTCTCGTTCCCTGGAGGGGGCGGGGTTATTAACACAAATTAATTACAACTCTAGTGGTTTATCAACAGTGAGCAAGACATCCCATTCTCTTTCAATGCTCATTCAGGCCAGAAGAGTCAGACACACAGACGATTAATACTGTCGGACAAGTGAAGATGACGTGATTTGATGGTGCAGATTGTAAAACGGAGGAAGAGAAAGAAAATATCAAGGGGACCAATTGAAAGATAGAAAGTATCCAAAGTTCAGGATTATTTCAAGCTAAAAGAAAACAGCAACAACTCTGTACAGTGTGTCTGCTGTAAAAAGGAACTAGCCTACCACAAAAGCACAACGGCAATGCTTCAGCATCTGAGCAGAAAGCATCAGGTCCACGCATCGAATCCACAGAGCGGGGGGCCCGAAACAAGGTACTGTTAACTGTTAGCATTTAACGTAAATCCCGATTGCTCGTTGAGATAAAGGCTAGCAAAGGTAAGGCACAATTCTTAAACATGCATTTGTTGTTGTTGTTGTTCTTCTTCTTCTTCATCTGGTTAATCTGAGAGTTTGGGTTGTAACATGATATGAGTTACACAGCTGATCCCGGTACCGGGGGCCCCAAGCAAACGTATTTCTTATCCAATGATACAATGGAATAATCAGAAGAATCCTTATCTGATAATACTGATAGCTGCAGCCTTAGTGGAGTTAAAATGTTCTAAACAAAACAAAGCACATTTAAAAAAGAACAACAATCTATACATGCCTTCGCATTATAACATGACTACAAATCCCCTCTTTACTTACTTATAGTATCTCGGAGTCTTCTGCAGCATTTTTTCCGGCAGCCCGTCCTCATCATCAAAGTGCTCTGAGGGCTCCACAATAGCTGGACAAGGTGTGCTGAAGAAAATGAGGACAACACTTAAGTTAAAACTCCCTCCGATATTACAGCAAAGCAGTGGTCGTTGATGCGTTATTAAAAGGCCTATCAATGAAAGACTGAGATCAGAATAGGGCTGCACGATATAGGAAAAAACTGACGATATATATTGCAATACGAAAAAATACAGGAATTGCTTTATTTGAAAAGAATTAAGCATCCTAGAATTATTTGGTGATTTGGTAGGGGAAAGCTTAAAATTAAATTTTTAGACTTTTTGTTTGAGTGCAAACCATCTTTTCTCAAGCTTTAATGCAGTAAACATTTTAAACAACATGATAAAAATAAAAGAGCAGCTATACACCAGTCCCCGAGTGGTTTACAAAAGTTGCTTTTCTTTTTGCAAACAAATCCACTGATTCGGTGGTTTTCTCCTGTTCCTCACTTATTTGCATGTTGTTGTTGACAACTAACTGGGGCGGGGCCTATTTCAGCTGTTTGATAAACTGAACAATAACTGTATTGTGATAGGTGGTTCGCTGTGCATGAAGAAACTGCTTGTCAACAAACTGTGTATCCACGAACCCTTAAATCGAGTAAATTATGTTACATCAGACAGACTTCTCTTGTAGATCAGTCATGGAAAATGCAGTGCAAGTTTTCTTTTTGTATCAAGAAGCAAAAAAGTCGAGGTGTTTGAGCTCATTTGACTTGCTTGGCATTGCGATGACGATGCTGAAACGATATATTATGCAGCCCTAGATCAGACCGATTTGTGAATTTGGAAGCCTCATTTTCAGATGCCTGCAAAACCCTGCTTAGAGTCTGTTCATAAATCTGTGGCGTTTTAATCCGGTCTCGCAACTTGCAGGGCCCAAAACATCTGCTTTTGAATAGTTAAAATTCTGACCTCCTCAGCATCGTGGGCCCGCAAATGATCACTGACGTAGGGGACGGCAGGAAGGCCCTAAAATAATATCACGATGTCAGTGTATTTCTGTTAATATATTCTTGACCATAAAATTCTGAAACCAATGTTTGGTTCAGGCCTCACAATAGCTGGTGAGCTCTCCTCATGGGATTTTTGGCTCTCCTTATACTCAACCGGGTGCTTCTGCTTGAGGTGGTAAAAGAAGTTTGTTTTATAGCCCCCTTTTGATTTTACTTTCTTTATGTAGTTCTTAAATATTATCATAATTTGTTGCACATCTGATCAAACCAAACCACTGCTGAAGTCGCTCCCCTTTTTGAAACCAACACCTACACGGTGCCATGTTACTTTCACTTTCATTTTTATTTATTTAGCTGACGCTTTTATCCAAAGCAACTTACAATTGCTATACATATCAGAGGTGCATGTCTGGAGCAACTAGGGGTTAAGTGTCTTGCTCAGGGACACAATGGTGGATGGGTCACAGTTGAGGACTGAACAGTGTGTTGAATAGTGTGTGATGGTATGACCTCATTACATCAACAAGTCGGAATATAAACAATTACCCCTACACTGAAGTAAACTCACGGCGTGAATGGCACCGTGGATTAATGCCACGTTCAGCCACACAGCAGCATCAAGTGAAAACAGAAACCCCTGCATTAATTTAATAAGACACATGCATTGACGCAGCAGGGGTGCTGATGCAGAGGACTCAGGCAGGAAATGCAGCACGTCGGCAAGAATAAAATCTGGCTCAACTTTTACCGCAACACAATGCGACATCATCTGGCAAAGCATTGGGTTGGCAAATCAAATACGTGCTAGCACGCATTCCTGGTAGACTATCAAGTAGCATGAGTGCCATATTTCTGCTGGTACGTCATGGTAGCTGCAATGAAAGATTAATTGATTGCTGCCAAATCTTGTTGCTAATATAATAAACCACTGACCAGTTTTTTGGCAACTTCAAACCCGTGGATGTAGACCCAATACCCTATACACTTAAATCCGGGGTTTTTGTTCTGAATGCCTGGTAAGATATTATATATTATTATAAATATATGCATATTTTTGTGTATATGTAAGGTTTCAACTGATGCAGGGTGAGTAGTTTAAGACTGAACCTTCATTTCATGGAGAAATTTGGGAGAATCTGACAAACAAGCTGATTCTTGTAGCAATCACTGCTTCACAATTTCCTATGTAATGCAACTAAACAATGAACCCTCACACAGTCATTTAACGCCAGCATGTTCTGTGTGTTCACCCCTCCAAACCTCTTCATCCCCACACTCCTTACGTGGTCAGCAGCAGCGCTCCCTCCGTGCAGCGCTCCAGGGCTTTACGTGCAGCTGCCTTGTTTGCAAACTCCACAAGGCCCCTGCCAGTAGGACGACCACGGTCATCTGTCACGACGATAGCCCGTTCCACCGGCCCAAACTGAGAAAACGCCTGAAGGGAAGAAGGTGGTTTTCAGATTAAAAGGTCAGTGAACAGAAATCATCAATCTTCTGAGATCTTATCACAATGAGATTTCAAAAGATCTTGTCCAGCATACCTGTTCCAGCAGCTCATTTGTTACAACGGGCAACAGGTTACGCACTGTGAGCGCAGCAACATGTGTAGAAAAGCGGATCCTGATTGGTCTATTATTCAAAACCGTCCCATCCAGCTCAGCTTTTGCAATCTCTGCCAGCGTCCGGGTTTCCTGAAAGACAAGGGATGAAAAGCAAAAGGGTGATGAATGATACTCATGAAGGCTGCAGAATACATTGAGTTTAATCTGCACTTAAAGCTATCTGACAGTCCAGAATTTGCACCTGTGTATGAAACCTTGCACCACATGGTCTGTGGTGACCAATGAAACTGTGTCACTTACATTCAAACTATATATTGCTGTATTATTTGCTGTATGAGCTGAAGCACCTGCATTGCAATATAATAAAACCTTCCTCTCCCTCTCACTTTAATACATAAAAGGTCTATATGTGCGGAAGCCTCTCGTGATTTGGAAACATACAAATAATATGGTACTCAAATGTAATGTTAAGATATGATAAAATATGAATGGGGTGTGAAGTCAGCCAGCACCTTCTGCTAATGCAAACATATCAGCTGTACTAGTAAACATTATACAAATAGATTAGGAAAATTAACGCACACAAAGCACAGTTTAAAACCAAAAAGCAGGACTTGGCACGTACCAGGCGGATTAAGCCGAAGCCCCGGTCTCTGTTGATGAAAACCTCGTTAACGTTTCCATATTTAGCGAACATGTTCTTGAACTCCTCCTCCGGGATGTCCGTGGGGAGGTTCCCCACAAACAGCCGTGAGCGCTGGGTGAACGTCTTCTCCCCGGGCTTTCGAAAACTCGTGATATCCAGAGTCATTTCTTCCGGGCCTTCCTCGCTTCCTTCCCCGGCTTCTTGCTCGCCCGCAGGAGACTGCTGCTGCTGCGGAGCTGGGCTGTCTTTGTTCGCCGGTGACTGCTCCGTGCCCGGGGAGTCGATCCCGCGTCTCGCTGGTTGAGGAGAATTACTGCTCTGCATGCTCGCTTGTTGCATATTTCTGTTTGCCATGCTCGGACAAAATAGTTTATGTAACGCTATCTGAATTAAACCAACTTTGTGGTAAAGGATAGTGCACCAGTATTGATGGTGCAAACCTCCTCAGATTCAAAGATGGCCATGGTTGCGCGCGCAACTTGCTATCTGCTGCTTCTTCTTCATTTTGTTTTATAACTTTTTAAGGTGCATACTGCCATCTACTGTACCGGAGTATGTAGCATATGTGATACTGATAGCGCTACTTTACATCATCATAATTTAAAATAAAAACTATCCTATAATAGATCCTTATTCTTCAGATATTGCATAATATCTTTCGGTGCATCCTTTACAGCCTCTCCTAATAAAGTTCCTATTGCTTCCTGTCTGACTTATCTTTTGAATTAGCATTATCCTCTCATCCCATTATTTCATACAATACAACAGTATATGTTCTACATTTTCCGTGGATTTACATTCCAAACATTCATCTGATTGACTTTTGCCTGATTTACCCTGTATGATCAAACCCCAATGGCGTCACTTTGTGTTGAAAAGTGGTGGGGACAGAAAGCCTCAGATTAGGGGCTTGATGATACAAGTTTTATTTATTGCTATACTGTTTTGTGAGTTGACCTTGAGAGTTCTGAAAGGCGCCTATAAATGAATGTATTATTATTATTATTATTACTACAAGTGTGTCACAAGATTTGACAATGGTCAAAAACCAGATGAGAAGATTTTTAACACTATTTTGAAGAAATATGAAGTGCTGAAATATATGTGGGGGTTCTGGGGGTCCTCACCCAGAAGATTTTGACCATTAAACACTTAATGTCCTGCATTATAGATACATTTTCTGCTCCAATTTATGGTGGAAATGTCTTTATTTATATAAAGAGAAACAAAAAATTTAGCTGGCAGGTGACAATTCATAAAAATAAAAAATTTATAAATATAATTAACCCCATGTTTTTTCCACATTTAAACTTTAAAGCACATGAACACACTGAAGTTGGAAGAATGACTTCCCATCTTAGGAAAAGGGACAATCTGAGGAGCACATGAAAGCACCATTGGCCACTCATTCAATATCACAGTTTGCACAATGAGACCGGCTATAGCCTTCTAAGCTCCCATGTCATTGTACTAAACAAGGAGATGTGTTACTGCCCCTTCATCCCTTCCAACATGAAAATACATTTTGACTGGTCAAATACATAATGTGTGTCTTTTGCTGTCATTCGAGCGGTGTGCAAGTTCCCTGAGGTGCTGCTGAAAGCTTTTTCTATGATGGGCCGACCATCTGTCCAGATACTGTGGCACATCTGTGTGCATATGCTACTTAAATTCCTCTGTTGACATGGGTCTAGAGGGTTGCCGTCTTCTTCTTGCTTTCCTGTCAGGGATCCCATGTCCGGGCAGGTCAGAGGGCTGCTGCCTGTCCATGATGAGTGTATGAGTCTGTCCACATTGGCAGCATACCATGGGTTTCACTCATGGAATGTGAATAACTAAGCGATTTGCAGGGCATGCATACTTTTGTAGGGTCGTGTTGTAAATTGCCTACAGATATAATGAATGCTCATTACAGTAAAGATAAGATTTGCCGTTTGATCTCTTTTGATCCTGAGCCCAAAGCATGCATTTTACATATCAAAAAGACACTGATCTTAGTCTTAATTAGGTGTGTGTTCATCAAATATGTATTGGTTTCACATATAGCACTTGTGCCCAATAAGGCAGCGCATTAGCTTATGTGTCAGCTAACAGAAATGTTTTCATGTTTTTTAAAATAAGATGTGTATTTGATTTTTAAGCAAGTGAACATGAATTGACCATCATGTCAGCAGTAGTTTACTACGCCATTACAATGCCTGTGGGAGAAGCACTCATACTAGCAATATCACAATTTAAAAATTATTTTACTATTTATTAGTGTTATTATTAGTATCTTTTATTTTTATTACAGGAATGCTATCAGAAAAATGTAGCCTACTTATAAGTAAAGTTAAGTAAAGATGCTTATCATGCAGAAAAATGTCCCAATGTGATTATATATTATGTTAAGTAAGAAACTGTGCCTATACAACAGTGTAGGAAAAAATCTTTACTTGACTAGAAGTACAAACGTATTAGCAGCTAGATGTACTCAAAGTAAAAGCACAAGTGGTCAGTATGCAGAATGACCCAGGCCAGAATAACATGTATCATATAACTGGATTATAATTGTTCATACATTCATGGGCAATCATAATCTTAATGTTGCAAGTGGAACTACTTGTAATTACTTTATATACTGTTGGGTATCTTAATCTATTATTATTCATCCAAATTTATTTGTTGATAATATTTTGTATTAATTATGTGAATATGCAAAGTAACTAGTAACAAAAACTGTAAATGTAATGAAGTAAAAAAGTACAATATGTCCAGTATCTCAATACTTGAACTTAAGTACAGCTTAAGTACAGTAGTTGAATAAGTGTACTTATTACATCACTGCATTATAAAGATAATGTCAGAACCCCCCCCAAAAAACGTTACTATATATATATATATATATTTACATATATATATATATTACATTATACTTTTACTGGTCCAGCTGCTGATGGGAACAGCAGTGACGTGCCAGTGACGTTGCAGCACCCTCCTCCCTCAGCTTCACTGAGTAGCTCAGTATTTTTTATTTTTTCATCTGCGGACAGTCAGGCTGGAAGTTTCCTGCGGGTTTCTGGAGGAAATACAGCCGGTAAGTTGTATTTTAAAGTACCACATGTAAGCTAGATAAGCATATTCAGCTGACAGTCGGTTTTAAAGTGTCTTTAAATGTCACGCATCATCAGTGACATTAAGACGTAATTTCAGATTAATTATGTGATATTTGAAACCCCCCAATGTTAGGTTTAATAATCGCTACAGTTTAATACTGTGAGATGGCAGATGATTTTTGAACATAATTTAAATGTAACTTTATTTCAGACACAGTGAAAGAAAATGCTATAGGAGGACAGACCATAGAGACACTATCGCCGTTCACAAGTACACTGTGATTAAAACACAAGCCGACATTTGTTCCCATGTTTCCAAAACACTGCCCAATGATAATGCGGTTTTAATTATGCTACTTAAATCCTTGGCTCCATGTTATATTGCAGCAAGTGGTTATAGCGCCGGGGTAGCATATAAATAGGATTATTTATTATTTAGGCTGTTTTAATTCATGTGTAGTGGCTGAGATCTGAAGCGCGGTTTGAGTAGGAATCGTTAATCACATGTATGCAGACAACATTAATGTAATTTGTACTGTAAACACATTTGTCTATGGCTTTACATATTTACACTGTGCATTGATTGTGATTAAGCTTGTCCAAGAAGAGCATTCATGATGTTTTACATGATGGCAATGGTGGAATGGGCATTTACTCAAGTAGCCTACTGTAGCACATTATAAGAAACTTGAAACTTTAACTCCACTATACTTTTTACTCCACTACATTTATTTAACTATAGCTACTTGTCAGATTTTACATAAAAAACGTGTGTAGTTTATAGACTGTTTATAGAATGATGCAGTGTTATTGATTAAACTACCCAACAGTACAAAGTACTTAATAGCAGTAGCCTCCACCAACTATAACATCAAAACACTGGTGACAGAAATCCAATGATATAGTATATAACAATAAGAGGACATTATGCTGCTTAATTTGCCTTTTTTATACTAAAGTACTATATTAAATTCAGGACTAGCATTGATATATTGCTACTTTTACTTACTTAAAGTATCCTAATACTCCCACCCCCACTGCATGAGGAAGAAAAAGTGTTTTATGAAGTTTTATAAACACAAAAGATAGCGGAGAATTTCCAGTTAAACCAGAAAGAATGATTCATCTTCAGGCAGTAATTCTTTACTACAGTAAACATGTGTTAATCATGAGCCTCTGGTCTGTCATGACCTTTTTTCAACCGTATTAAACAATGTTGTAAAGACGTCAGGCATTTTATGAGATGCCCAGTTCAGCAAGGCCCTTATAAAGATTTTACTGTCATGTAGTGACTCAGTAAACCCCGGTGGAGATGGGAAGCAGACTGCGTATTTGTGTGTATGGTGGGAGGCTGAACTTGAGTTAACCAAAAAAAAAAAAAAAGTTATCATACGCTGTACTCTGGTGTTTCAATCAACAGGAAAGTGTTAGACAGTTAAAGACATGAGAATTCAGAAACTCTTACTGTAATTTATCTGGTGCAGTCACCGGAAAAAACATAAGCAGTTGCATAACAGAAGTTAAGCCCCTGCCATATGTGTCTGGTCGATAGAACTGAGCTGCTGGATATCGGCTGAACTTCAAAGGCAACCCTGGTGGCCTAAAACTTGGTAGGGTATCCTTTTGATACGCATGACCAACATGGAGCAATTATTCTTCATCTAAAGAATCAAATAGCTCACATTAGACATTTTGTTTACTATCTATAGCAGCCGAGATCACTAATATATTGATTGTTTAAATATTTATATATTATAATTAGGCTTTGTTTGTTGGGTCTAACCAAGCAAATTCTCTCAGCTGCCAGTGCTGTTTACTACAGTGTGTGATGCATTCAAGTTTAAATGAACAACTGCGGACGCCTCAGGCTATTTAAACCCTTTATGTTTTTCTCTCTGGTCCTTCAGTAATCCTGCCGTCCTTCGTATTCTCCTACAACACCGACTTTCTATATTTATATATTTTAACGTGTATTTCTGCACATTTAAATGGCTTCTGTTAAAAATGATAGACAAACGGAGCTTACTACTTTTCTATAGACACAGAATGAGTGAGACAAAAAGCACTGAAGGCACACTGAGGTCTAATAAATGTGTTCCCCAAACATTCACCAAACCGCAATACAAGCAATTGTTAAAAAGGACACATATTATGTTATATTATCCATGAAAAATACATCAGATGCACTGTGGGTTTTAGATAAAGATGACATTCCCTGTAATATTTACAATGTTTTGGGTCATCCATGGGTGTTTCAGTCATAAATATGTCTCTGACAGCACGTAAAGGCAGCACAGCACTGCCAGCTGACAGAAGGTGAGAAGTAATTAGTTTAACTAAATATTACCTATAGCAGTTTTACTCTCGGAAAA